ATATGTATATATAATATTTATTAAATAAACTACTCCCGAAATGAATTCATTCTCAGAACTACAATAAGAATACAATTTACATCTTTTCACTCCTTTCAATGGACAGAGGTTTTTTATTGTGTTCTTTATGGGATACATATTTCAGAACGACGTTAATGATTTCTAAAGTTCACTTCCTTTTGAACTCATTAGAGATTCAGTTTTAGCAAGATCAATTATGACAAAAATCTCCGCAATAGCTTGTCATTCCATCTCAATCTTTACTATATAACAAGTAAGTTTTTTTGTTGTCATTTGTCATAAAAGATTGGTTTTATTCATTCATTATTATTACTTTCTCACAATTTTACCAGTTTGTTGAACGATTAAAAAGATCTTAATTTTAATCTAACTCGGATAATAATGTGCTATGATATGTAAGAAAGATACTATGCTAAATACTATGCTATATAATAGGCTATCATAGTGTATTTATAAGCTATATATAAAGAACACTTAGTTATTTAAAACACTAGTAACCAAAACCGATGAATTTTATTTTCTCACGTTGTCAACGAAAAACTGGAAGAAATTGAGCTATAAATTGGGCAGAAAGGACAGGTTAAACAGTTCATATAAACAAGTAAACAGTTCTGCAATTTCGTTTAATTATGATTAATAATTAACTCATGAGAAAGATGCATTTTATAGACTGGTGTTGGTCACGAAATATATTGGGTTGTCCAGAAAGTAATTTCGTTTTTAATTTTATTTTACTTTATGAAAATGAAAGACGTTTTTCACATAGTGAATAAATATTTCATTAAACTAAATATTGTCCATTCTGGTCCAATAATTTTTAGCATCTATCTGCGGGTTGGGGGGGGGGGGCAAGATTATACGCGCATAAAGTTTTTGTTTTCTGTTGGCAAAAAAATTGATCCAGGGGATTTTTAACTCCTTATTTGAAGTAATGGTTTTACCGTCTAAAACATTTTGTAAAGAGCTGTTGGAGCATTGTTGAAGGTCGCCTCCAGCAGCTTTTCCTGTTTTTAGCAATTAGCATAGTTTATATAAGACGCTTCTTTAGCTTCATATGCTGGGTCTTTTATATATTTTCTTCTACCTTTGCGTGCACTTCTTTAACGTTCTTTATTTTTTGATTTGTATGATTTAAGTTATTGTTTTCTATCTGCTTTTTCATCACAGTTAATAATTTTTAGGTCAATTTTTTTCTCTCTTTAACTAAATGTTTGGTGTCTCCAGATATTCAGTCATAAGATTCATGTTCTTTCTTCACAAGCATTTCTTCTGTCTCTGAATAGAATTTTTTAATTTTCTCCCATCTTTTATTTACCTCCCTATCTTTATCAGTTTCCTCTTTTAGAGTTTGGAATCTGTTTTTCAGATTCAAGGTAAAATTAAGTGTAAGAGTAATATTTTGTAGTTTGTCAGTATCGTATCTGGTTCTGCAGTTGCCTCTATTAGTCAATATATTATATTAGTATTATTTCAGTCAGTTTTAATTTTACTCTTGCTCTAACTAATTTGCAAGATTCATAGGCAAGTAGAAAAATCCTTGTAAAAAATGCATAAGCACCTACAAATGATACAGAAGATGAAGAAAAACACTAATTTCATAATATCTTACAAGATACTTAAGTAATATAAATAAAAAAGACGCGCTGATTGTTATGGGAGACTTAAATGCAAAAGTCGGCCTCGAAAATGTGGGAGTTGAATCAATAATCGGAAGAAATGGACAGGGATTAATGACTGAAAGTGGAGAATGTTTCACAGTCCTGTGTATAGGGGGAACTCTATTTTAACACAAGGTAGTTCATAAAGCTACCTGGATTTCACCAGATAAAAAATAAAAAAACCAAATTGATCATACTACTATGAATAGAAACACAATCGATAAAAACATTTATGAGACATTAGTACCAATGTCGACTCGATTATATTCTAATTGGAACATGGCAAACCAAACAATTTTATTCCTTTCGTTTTCTATTATTCGTTCTTAAACTGTTAGTTATTTTTGAGACAACGATATTTATTTTCGAAGTGATATCTCAAGTTCATCTAATAGAGCTGGTTGCTTAATATCAAGATATAAAACGTTTTATATTTATCGGAGCTACCATAATATATTTGACAGCAATGAATAATGCAATTCACAAATAAGTAATATTGTAGCTAATATAAATCATTACACTTTTTTTCAGATTTTATCTAAATGATTCAACTAACATCTAATGATTGCAGGGCACTAATTGGAGCATCTGTAATTAATTTCTTGATAGCTGGTAGTGCCAGACTTTCAACAATATTATTTGTCGAATCATTAACTCGTTACAATGCAAGTAGGAAAGAAACCTCCTTAGTTTATGTTTTGCCTTATCTGTTGAGAACTCTTTCAGGCAAGTATATATTATACCAGGGCTCGAAAAAACTTAGAAATTTTACCCGTCCCAGAGAACGGCTTGTCCAACAATGTACCCGTCCTCCTTTGACACTAACCCGTAGCTTCTAAATAAATAAAAATACAATTTTCTCCTACTTATTACAAACATTTATATAAATTGCACAATGAATTAGTAGTTACTAGGATTACAAATGCTAGGATTTCATTATACAGTAATAAAATACATACTAGATTACTGATAGTAACCTAGTATTTCTTTTATGAAATAATTTAAATAACAAAGGTCAAGTTATCTGGAATTTCAATTTATCCGAGGGTACTGCGTTTTTTAAATGCATCAAATATGACGTTTGCCAGCTCCACAATCAAGCCAATGATTTACAGAGGTTTTTGCACAGAAATCTGAAAGGGGTTTTCCATTTAGGTAAATGTTCATAATTACGTTTAGCGCTTCTTGTAAGACCAGTACGTAAGGTGTTTCTTTGTAAGTTCATTGCTGAAAAGCCCCTTTTAACCGCTGCAGTACTCCCAGACATAGAAAACATCAATCCCATCATGAGCAGTATGTCGCTGTATTTCTAGATTAGAGGGTCATTTTAGAAGTGAGGAGCTAGATTCTTGTAGGATAATGAAAATTGAAAATGTATCATGAACAATTAACGGGAAAATAGCTGTCCGCGCGGATGTCAGATTCGAGAAATTCGTTGTCCGCGAGGAATTTTTGACCGCCGAGGACGGGCGGACGGGCGATTTTTCGAGCCCTGTATTATACCATGGATTATTGAAAAATATGATAACTCATTGCTATAGCATTTGATGAGGTCATTCTTAGCGACGGTTACAACTATTTGTGTATTTAGGGCCTGATTATCGCCTAGGCCCAATAGGCACGGGCCTAGGGCCCACGCTTTCTGTGGGGCCTCAAAAATTAGTAAAAAATCCACAATATTACTTAAACTTTTTTCTGTAACTGTTTTTTAAACTGTTATTTTTTATCTCCAAAAAGCATTTTTTATTTCAAATTTTCTTTATATCGGGATAAACCAAACTCGTGTAAACATTGCATTAATCAAATTTGAAAGTACAGCTGAATTTTAATGGGTGCAATTTTTACTCCAACGGCCTAAACAAATGCAACGAGAATGCATGTTCGCAAAGTCTCTTATAGATGATTAGTGTCAACAGGAAGTAAAAGCTTATTCTTAACAAATATGTAAAGCTGTAGATGGAAGGCTACAATATTTAAAATACTAATTCAGCTAAGCACTTTTAGAAAAAACAAATGATTTCAATTGTTTGTGGTCATCAAACTATTTTTATTTTCATACAACATTGTTTTGTTGTTTTATATTTTGCTTTAATATTTAGATGCGTAAACTTTATCTTAGAAAAATAATCTTTAATTGTCTGCTTTCAAAAGTTCTTAGAACGTTCCACTTGAATCCTGCACTTCAATAGATTCTTTTTATTGTTAGGACTACTCTTCAGAAATTTAATTTCAAAATACTTTGTTAGGGTCCCGGAAAATTTTGTTGGCCTTGGGCTCTAATTTGTCTTGATCGGTCCCTGTGTCTATTCGGAAAAGTAGGAGTCAGTTGCTGTATTTAGGACTACATGTACTATAGTGCTAAAAAAACCTGTTAACCGGGAAATTAACTATTTAGATTCTTCTTTAACCTGTTCAGTTCAACTCGTTTCACAATGGGGTCTTTTTTGTCCGTAGTCATCTGTAACATAACTACACCGGCAAGTAATTTCCAAAATGTTTTGCCCTTTGCAGTAGTAGTTTGGGTAATATTTCGTCATAGCCAGTAATTTAAGTTAAGGTTCAGACACTGTCATTTGCATTTTGCACTTTTTTTAGGAAATATCAAAATATACAAAATTTAACATAAGTTCGTTCAACAAAAATTAGTTTCTACCTACAAAAACATCCACAGTTCTTTTTAATTTCGTAATGGAATAAATTTTCCTGTTTGCTAGAAATCCTATCGTTTCGTAAAGGAATAAAAATTAGAGAATTTTTTTTAGTTGCATGTAAGTTCCTCATGAAAAATCAACATGTGGAATATTTACATATTTTTAGGAACTAACAATGAATGCGTACACTTATTTAGCGTGAAGTGTTGTTAAGTTATGAGTGAAATAGGAAAGTAAGTTTGGATGGAACTTCTGAGCTTACTTGTCTTCTGAATTAGATTCTAAATTCAAGAAAATCAACTATATCGTTTCAAATCATGTAATATAATTTAAAAGGAGGTCTTTAATTAATTTTAATTTTTTTAAAAAATATTACAAATTATTTTCAAATTTTAAAAAAGTTTTAGAAACTGTGTGTGTTTTAAACAAATTCAGTTCTGTGTTTTACTTTAAATAATTGATGAATTTCCTTTATAGGTCCTCTGATTGGATACTTTGATCAAATATTCGGATTAAGAAAGCTCATTATCGCGGGATGTCTGGTGTCAACGCTAAGTATAGGGTTTTGCTTTTTCGCCGAAGATATTTTTACAGTCACAATTTTGTGGGGTGGACTATTTGGTAATTTCCTAAGACCTATTAACTATAAACTTTTAGCTCGAGAGTACCTACTTCACTACCAATGATTTAGAATTTTAGAATATGAGATCAAAAATATTTCTACCCGTCTTTGTGAAGTCAAATCTTTAATTCTTAAAATAATTTAGTTTTACTACTGGAGGAAATTAGACTTAAAGCAAATAGTTAAAAGTCGAACAGGAGCGCGCTCTGTTTCTGGGTTTGAATTATGAATTGAAAAAATTGGAGAGCATATGGTACACCAATTCGCATTGTTTTTTCAAAGCATTTTATTGTCTTTTTAAATCAATTACAGTCTTCAATATTTACCTCATTAATGACAACAAGTGCTTACAGCGAATAAAATTTCTTCAATTAAAACAAGAAAAGAGGAGTCCTAAAATAAGCTTCTCCTGATGGACAGAGATGTGTATGAAAGACAAAAAAATATAATGAGATATCAAATATTAGACGTAACTTTATTTTTACACATAATTACCAAGTATGCTGAAAACATTGCTTTATAAGCTTCAAAAAACTCTCCTAAAAAAAAATCAGGGTTCTGCATACAGAGGAAGCATTGAAGAGTTTGTGCGATTTTACCATTGCTTCCAAAGTGCCTTCAACCGACGAGACTTTTCTTTAAAAGCAGGAATTGGAAGTCACTAGTTGCGAGATCAGGACAGTATAGCTAATGGTCAAGGCGCACTTAACTAGAAGATGCAACACGGTTTTATGTTGCCATCGCTGAAATTCACATCATCATTCATTAATAGAACGCTGGATCTGAGAAGGCTAAGCCCTTTTTCTCGAATAGCCATATTCTATTTCGTCAGGTTGTAACAGTACAACGTAGCACTTATTGTTCCAACCTCTAAAAAACCTAGCAACATAGCCCTTGGACCAGACTGATAGGTTATCACCTCTGCTTCGACCATGATCAAATGATACTCAATAGTGTATGAGTGTCTTTCATATTCAGTCACTGTGCCTTGTTTATCTCATGGCTGTTCGATTTCCTGCAAAGAACTATGGGTGGGGGGAAACTTATTTTCCGAATCACCCTTGAACATTAATTGATGTGTCCTGTAAATAACCAACGGTTGGAAAAATAATTTTAAAAAAATTGAAGGAGATAAAAATTTACGGATTTACCAAGTTCAGCTTAGAAAACCAGAACATTATTCTTACCGTGTCTTAAATTAGTTTCAAAGTCCATTCAGAGATAGCTAAAAACAGTAAAGTGAGGTTATCAACTGTATTTCAGATCATTCCAATTGAAATATTTGCTTGGATATCCTCTGAACTTGTGTTCAAACAGCGCTTTATTGTTGCTGCAAATAATGGTTATTTATTTTATTCTTAACAAGTTTCAAAATAGCTACCAAGTTCGTCAACAGATAGTATTGCTTACTGTAAGAACAAAAACATGCCATTTAGATGACAGATCATTTTAACTAAAATTCTTACACGAGTATCAATTTGTCCTCAGAATCTGTCACTTTGTTGCTAAAAATAGTTTTTTTTTTTTTTTTTANTTTTTTTTTTTTTTTTTTTTTTTTTTTTTTTTTTTTTTTTTTTGGAAGAAACGTTGTTTTTATTTTTCTCTCAGCTAGTAGTGCCATCTGTTACAAAACTTTGTAACTATTTTTGAAATTTAGTGAAGTTAAAGCTCCTGGATTCCTTAGAAAAAAGCTTATTTTTTAAATCGGTGGTTATGTTTTCAATACCAGGCATGTAAGGCGCAGTAAATATTTAATTAACTTTTTAGACGTGAGAAACTGAATTAACGGTTTTTCTACAAATCATTCATCCTTAAAACCCTTGTTATCTTCATTTTTAATTTTTAATTTCATTTTTCTGTCGCGTTATAAAATATATAGCCTCTTGAATTGAATACTTTCAAATTAACAAAAAGCCACTAACTTGCAGTTTTTCGCGGTATCGATTTTGTGTTACTCAGATTTTTGTGAATATTTTGCAGGTTTCGGTTACGGATTATCACACCAAACTATTCCACCTTATCTCAACCAACATTTTTTTGAAAATAAAAGCACAGCAAATGGTCTGGCATTGACGTTTGCAAGTCTGGGTGCGACTTTATTACCTCCGGTAATGCAGGTTTGCATAAACTTGTACGGATTGTCTGGATGCTTCTTAATTCTCTCTGCTATGGTAGTCCACACGATTCCAGCTAGCCTAGCTATGAAAAATCTTTCAAATAATGTTCCACCTAAGAAAAATAAAAATTTCTCTGCAAATGGCTTCAATACTGACACTAATTCTGCAAAACAAATCCAGAAAAATGATAAAGATAATTACATTGCAGAAAGAAATATAAGAAATTTTCCTGGGAATAAGATTTTTGTTGTTTTTATCGACCCAGTATTTATCATAATGCTTATTATCAATGGCTGTTTTATATTTATTATTATAACAATATGGACTATAATTCTTGATTACAGCTTGGATAAAAATTTAGATGAGAACATAAAAATGCACGTAGTTACACTTATATCAGTGTCTGACTTAATTAGTCGTTTCTCTTCTGGATTTATCATTGATGCAAAATACATGGAACTCACCAAACTGACATTCATTAGTTTCTTCAGTACGGGTCTATTGCTTATAGTTTTTGTGTTTGTGTATAATCCTTTGTTTCTGATGATATGCGAGTTCGCAATATTTTTCATATTGGGATCAACGCTGCTTTTAACTATTGCACTGGTTCCAGAATTTATAGAAGAGGATAAAAGGACTATGGCTCTAACTAGTGGAAATCTACTGAGTATTCCACTTATTTTAGCAACTCCATCTATAATAGGTAAATATATAAACTTTCACCAATTAAAAAGATTATAATATATAGTAAGCGACTTTAAGCATGCATATTTTTTTTAATATTCTGACTGATCTACTGAGTATTCCACTTAGTTTAGCAACTCCATCTATAATAGGACATAAACTTTCTGTAATAGGACTACAGGGTAACAAAAAAATATAGGGATCATTTTTGAATGTTTATATTTCCAAAATTTATTACATAAATTCAGTGATGCTTCTCAATATGTCGACCTCCGGCATAATAGATTTGTCTACAACGCTTCGGCCAGGATTTTAAAGCCCGCAAAATGATTTCCTGGGGGATTTTCTTCACCTCTTCTCTAATAGCTCTTTGAAGGCCTCTCAATGTAGAAATTCTTCGCTTATTCAGTTTGTTTTTCAGATGTCCCCATAGGAAATAGTCGCATGGTGCAGCATCAGGACTGTTTGGAATCCATTGTTCTGGTCTCAGGAATTGCACTTGCTGATCTGTTAGGAATTTCTGGGTGACCTTAGATGCATGCGATGGGGCAGAGTCCTGATGGAACACAGCATCACCATTAGGGTACAATCTGCAGTAATCATCCTTAAGAAAGGGCTTTAATATCTTCTGTATGTAATACTCAGAATTTATTTTGGCCCCAGGTTTCACAAACCGAGGTTTGGTCACACCATGGGCGGATATGCCCATCCAAACCATTACGCCTTTGGGATGAGGCACCGTGGTTGATGGTGTCAAGTCTCGCCTGTTCTGCCCGCGACTAAGATATTGAACTTTAGATTTAGCATTGGTATCAGATAGATAGATCCAAGCTTCATCAGTTGTAATGAACTTTCGCCATCTGTCCTTACGGAGAAGCTTGTAGAGGGGCCATGAACGTTGCCTCCTAATCTGCACCGATCTCTCACTTAAATGATGACATTTAGGTTTTTTATGGCATTTTTTCTTCAACTTTTGTTTTAGTTGATAGCTTACAACTTGCTGACTCACGTTAAGAGCTTTAGCCATGCTTGCCTGTGTTGGTGGATCCGGTTTTGATGTCATCTTATCAAGCTTCTGCAAATCTGATTTCTTCAATTTGCTTGGCCGTCCACTTCTTTTTGGTTTTGCATTATTTTGCATCGATCCAAGTTTTGAATTCTTGATGCGACTGATATGGCTGAGTGAAATCGCAATACCTTTCTTTTTAAAATGGGTTTCTATAATTTTGTGGCTCCATCGAAGTTCTAAAAATGCTTGTACTTGACCAATTAGCTTTTTGTCAAATTTCTTCAAAGGCATTTTTGTGATTTTATTAAATAGTATTGCAATTGAAAGTCTAATACCAGAGCTTTAGATCAGCAAGCTATATGTGTGAAAAGGTTTTAAAACTTTAGTGGTAGATAGCCACAAAAGTGATCCCTATACTTTTTTGTTACCCTGTATAATAGGATTAAACAATATATAAACTTTCACTAATTAAAACGATTATAATATATAGTAAGCGACTTTAAGCATGCATATTTTTTTATATTTTGACTGCTTGATTTTTGCTTTAGAAACATTTTATGTTAACTTTAGTTATCTCTGAAAATTAATATTTGATAAATATTTATTGATTTGTTCAAAGGTGAATTTGTTTATTCTTCACACGAAGGAACAAAAATTTCTAGATTTTCAAAACCATTATAAATTTTTTATTTATTCAGAAGATATCTAGTTTTGCATTCGTGAGCTAAAAAAGAATGAGAAAACAGTTTTGTAGCACTATATAGTACTTAGGGGTAAGAAGGCGAAAATAGAGTTCTTAGGTTGTTTTTTTTAAAAGAAATTCCATGAATAAAATTAGTTACATTTTTATTTAAAACATTAAATTAGCTCTTTAGCTTTTAAAATAAAAAAATTTTTCGGGTAAAAAACTGTATTTTAAAGGGACAAAGATTTTTTTAGAAATATGAAAAACCCGGCTTTATCTGACTTGGTTCGAATAAAATCGAGTTGATCCGGGTAAGCCTGTTTTTATGAATAAAAACTGGTATATATAAAAATAATAAAAAATATTTTTTCATACTTAAATATTTATGTTTTGCAACAAGTTCATTTTATATCCATTCTTCACTGATATAAGATAGAACATTGATTTCATTAGATTCAATGCAAACAAATTTATAGAAAACAATAAGTCACTTTAATTAATAAAAATGCCAAATGCGTAAATAGGTTTAAAGCAGAATTTAATAATCATAAATTTTTGCTGTTTTAGTTAAATCCTTGATAACTTCCTATCGAATTTATTTTCGTGTTATTTCATTTAGCGTAAATAAATGCATAGCTATTAATACTTCACTTGCCTAGATAGCGATGCCAAATGAATAATTAGATATACATCAGAACTTGAACTGTTTTGACATAAAACTTTTTAACTTCTAAACTAGCAATACTGTTGTTGTATTATGCCACTTGTCAGTACTGGCAAGCTTATTTTAAGGAAGAGAGGTGCACCTCTACTTGTTTTCGAGATGTGCCATCTATGGCCAAGAATGTGACTTCTGACACACACATATCACAGCCCGTTTTAAAGGGAGGACGCATTTACAAGCCATGCATCCATCCGGTGTAATTGTGACCTGATCTGTTGTAATTGTGATGTGAACCAGAGCATGATCAATATCCGATTCAGTACGCCCAGAATTATTGTTTTTTCTTTTATGGGAACTTGGAGCACTTAGTGACCCTGACAGGTTTAGTGCGTACCTGTCACCATTTTGTTCACGGAGAGTCTTGGGCCGGCGGGGATCGAACCAACGACCTCTTTAACATGTACCAAACGTCCTTCCAACCAGGCTATCCCGGCGCTGGTAATACTATCGACTAGGAATAAAATTGGTTTCATTTTGGCCACCACAAAAAGGAAATTTATCGGAAACAATTGATAATTTGTTTCAATAACAATATTTAAGGTCTATAGTAACTCTATTTTGCTTGCCTCTATCCTTTCCTCCATCCAGTATAGAGGAAGAGACATAAAGTGCCCCAGTATCTTAAAATCATGTTCGTATCGGGTACCGAAAATTTGTAATTTACACTAAAATAATAAGAAAAATCACTGAAATACTTAAGGCCGTGGTAGTTCAGTGGTTAGAGAATCAGACTCTGTTCCGTAGGGGTCGAGGTTCGATTCTCGACTCCACTGAGACTCATAGAGTGCATGCGATATACTTGCACGTAAGATGTGTGAATTGAAAGACCTGTGGTCAGTCCCTGATCAGTCCTCGGGTAAATAGATCAGGAAAAATATCCTTCTCCTACAGATCTCACGAATGAGTGGTGCTGCCATCTATCCGTGGGTGCTCTGAACCACGATGTTATTTCAACCTTGCAGTGCTCTTTTGTCAAACTTAATTCGCGAAAGGACAATGGCTGATGGCGAGCTTGGCGTGTCCAAGTATTATTAGAGACAACAACAATAAAAATACTTACATGAACTTCGAAACTATTATCAAATGCACCGAAATGACATTACTTTCCGGTCCCCCTAATACTTACTCGAACTACTAAAATATTTTATTATTTTCGCAATATCTATTGTCCATAATAGAGGCTTGTCCTTGTCTTTCAGGTTACTTCAGAGGAACTCATGGTTCATATGACGGTGTATTCTATATATTGGGCATAACATCTATTTTCTGTGCTTTTTCAGCGTGTTTCCTTCCTTATCTAGCGAAGAAGAAAACGAGAACTCCTGATCTTGAATGTGCTACATAGTGCCCGAACTATAAATAAACAATGAAAGGAAAAAGAAAAAACAGACCGTCTGGATTGTATTACGTGATGCCCGATCTATAAACAGACAATAAAAAATAAAGACTGACAATCTGAATTGATGCATGAACTGTAAATACACACTAAAAAAATTTTCTCGTTTCTCCGAAAGAAAAAGTGAATAGTGTGATCTAAAATAAATACGTAATAAATTCTTAAAAACTGCTTAATAAATATTTAAAAAAAATGCATTTTTTTTATTCATTGACTAGCAAAATTTAGAGAGTATCTGCATTGCAATTTATTAATGCGTATTATATTTGGAAAAAAAGAACAGTCGATTTAAAAGGACGCTAAGCACAGGGTTAATGTAGAGGCATTAATAAAATGTAACGCTTACGAAAATTTTTTTCTAACGGAGCTGAAGGTTTTTGGAATTATATTATTATTTTTTGAGAATTATATTATTATTGGAGAACACTTTAATAAAAAGGTCAAATAAATACCCGATATTTTTCGCGATATTGTGGTCGACTCCCTAATAAGACTTATCCAGTTAAAAGTGCTTTGCTTGAGTCTTTCTCCAGAAATAAAAAACTAACAAGTCAAAGTCTAAAGAAATGGCATAAGAAACTTTGACTATTTTACAAATCAAAATTTAGCTGTAAATATTTAAGCCACAAGCCACAGGACTCACTCGAATATCGTGTAAACCTTTATGTGGTATGTTTCTTGGATAATATTGCCCAACTTGCCCCATTTCTAAATTAATTCAAGATAAAAAGAGTAGGGTAATTATGACCACTTTTGGCTCTTTTATTTTCAAATCGAACTTCATGTCTCCTTGAAATAATTAAAATTAATATTGTAATCGTTTAGGGCAATTTTTTAATTCTTTAAGAATGTATAAAAAAATCATTATCTTTAAGTTAAATGCTTAAGCTCTTAAAGGTTTGGTCATAACTACCCCTCAAAGATTTTCAAAAAGTTAAATTTTGGGGTAATTCTGATCATATATGGGGAATAATGAGCATTCAGCTAATGTACATTCTAGAACTGTTGTTGACTCATTGCCATTCCTTTCAAGTGACCCTTACCACTGTTTTTCCCTTCTCACACCTATTCCATGCACATGGGAGGTGTATGTATAATGATGATTAATATGTAATGATAAAGTATAATATTTTGTCTGCTTTACCTCACGTATTCATGTATAATGAAGACAAAGCAGGCTTTATCTGACGATAACAGTTTTTTTCTGTGCAACTGCTAATTCTAAAAATCCTCTTCTCTATCGGATTTTTTTTTCTTTTTCTTTTTTGAATTTTTGACCCAAAAAAAGCAATTTTTTATTGCTGAAACTGAATATATGTTCTATCCTAAATTCAAAAATGCAAAATCTGCTTTATCTCACGTATAATGAAGACAAAGCAGGCTTTATCTGACGATAATAGTTTTCTTCTATGCAACTGCTAATCCTAAAAATCCTCTTTTTTTTTTTTTTTTTTTTTTTTTTTTTTTNTTTTTTTTTTTTTTTTTTTGAATTTCCGACCTAAAAAAGTAATCAGTTTTTTGTCAGCAAGCAGTTTTTTGCTTGACCTATTGGTGGTGAAATACGTGATTCCCAGATCTCCAGTTTTCCTTGCAATGCACCCAAGTTTTGTCTTGAAAAAATACACCGTGATTACATATTTATTAACTCTATTGTTTTAAGGTGTTTAAGATAAATATCTGCATAAAATAATTATTAAAATTAGGTAAAAATATTTTGGAAAATGATTTTCCAACTTTACCGTTTAAACAGATATACAATCAGTTTTGGGTATCAGAGCCTAAAAATCATACATCATAACTATTTAGACATGCGACGGTAACACTGATGAAAGCGAAACTAAAGAAAGTGCAAAATGATTTTCGATTTAAATACAATGCGGGAAATCTCACTTCGAAAATGGCGAAGAAAGTGGGACTAGTTGCGCCATCTTTTAGCAATATTCAAAAATACAATATGGAAGGATACAATATGGAAATAGACAATAGTAGAGTATAGGATTTATACAATATAGAAATACAATATATATGCATGGCAAGCGACGCCTATTATACAGGCACAGAAACGCTGAATTTATGAGATGAGACACCGACAGAGAAGGGGTAAAATTGATACAATGAAGATGCTTGGCTTTCTTCAAGGATAAGGAAAGGTATCCCTTCATAAAGCTTATAAGCCAGTCCTCTCTTGGTTTACCATTCTTAAAAATATTAGAAGTTGAATTTTTAAGTCGCTAAAATTCTTGCCTGTTATAAGAATAATCAAACATGGTTCTTGACAATAAATTCTATACGTTCTTGCACTTCTTTCAAATTCCTGTTCACAGCAGCCAGCTCCCTGATTTCTAAAATAACTTTTCTTCTAATTTGCAGCTGATACTGGCATGCCGTACTTTCTTTCAATCTTTCACTGGCTCATATTCTTGGTTTTTACATAGCAACAGCTTCTGGCAAGTTCTTTGGAGAGTAAGAAAAAAGATCTAGAACATAAGCAAAATAGAGGATAGAGGATCTAGAACTTATACAAAACAGTGTATGTTCTAGATATTTTTAGGCAACAGAATATAAAAAGTAATCAATTTTGAATTGAATTGAGATATGATCATAATTACTCCATTCAGGTAAAAAAAGAAGAAAGAAAATGGGATAATTATGACTATGTACTTTTAGGTCATAAACTTTAATACAAATCTAAAGTATCAAATGCGAAAGAACATGGGCTTAATACATGAGCCGAGTACATGGGCTTAGTTATAAATCTATTTACACTTACTACTAATGACTTTGAATCAACATGAAACTGTTTTTCATAGATTTGAATAGCTTTTAAAACCATTTGGGGAATTTTGACTCGATATTTTTTTCCGAGAACTATTTAAAGTTTCCCGGAACAAAATGAACTTGTGAAACTTGATAAAAAGTATTATTTTGCATTTTTATCGTGGACAATTTATTTTTAAAAAATGGCACTGGTCACAATCATGTCGTGGTATTAAGTTCAATACTTAACCCTAAATGTAACATAAAGAACAATTTTTTTTATTATCTGTGGGCTAACAATTCTCTACACTGGGCTAAAGTTTTGCGGAAAAATTCGAACTTTGAAGTTTTATCTCAAGAGTCAGCTAAAACCTTAACTTTATTGAGTCAGTGAACTGAAAAAAGTATTTGGGGAAGTATGAACATTAGCTTATTGTAGAAATTAATTACTTTCTATAATAGGTTAATTTTTCGATGTAAAAGTATAGTTTTCGGTGGCCAGGTTTCTACAGATTTCTTAAGACATCAATTCGCATTCGTCATTCTTACGCGGCATGCTTTTGTATTTATCTTTTAGAATGTGATGAATATTCCAAAATAAGAATGACAAAAAATAAATATGACATAATGAATGGCATGATTCGTTGAATATGACAAAAAATATAGCTTTAATTACATTAAATAAATACTAACTGTCTCTAAGGAACAGTTACGGTACACCTGTTAAAATAAGTAGAACTTCAAGTATTAAAAATCGTACAGTCGAAAATCAAACCAAAAAGCCCCTGCTTGTATTGCAGAAGAGAGAGTGAATTTAATTTTTGCTTCTTGCATGTTCACATTTTAAGACCTTGGAGGTATTTTTCACAATTGACGAAAATGGGTATCGTGAGAAATTTATTAATAAAATGTTGAGTATAACATATGCTAACATTTTGAACAGGAAAAAATATGTATAAAAGTGAATTGGCTCACGAATAAGCATATTTATGTTTAAAATTACCACGGATGGGGAAATATAATCTTTTTCCTTAATTTTTAAAAAGTTATATTAGCCTGCGTATTTCTTTCTAACACGCGTTTTTACTTAACTATCAGCAGATTTTAAACTATCAGCTAATTAGATGTTTATTTTTTTTCTCGAGATTTCCTCTGCTTCTATTCCTTTTTAAGCACTTTGTTATTAGGTTGTTTCCCCGACAGCACACCTTAAAACAATGAGAAAAAAACATGAGCTTTCAACATTGCATTCGAACAACTTAACCTAGAGGAATAGATAATATCACAAAATGATCCAAAAAGTATTCGTAATGTATAACAAAAAAGGCGTACCAATCGGTTTAGCCGCTTAAAAGATATTAAAACGAGTTTTAACCTTAACAGTGGGCTTTAATAAAGGAATTTCGTATTTTCGATACTGCGCCTAAAATACATGGCTCCAGAAAGCGCTGATTGTTTACAAATCGCACCATAAAAATTTGTAAACTGTTGAAAAAAAAGAAATGATCCAAAATCTGTGCTGTCGTTTTCGAGTTATTTGACTAATTCATCCCATACAAACAGAATTTCGCTTTTGTATAGAGATATCTTATTTAATATTTTTTTTTTAAGTTTCAGAAATCAATTCCCCCTTAGAGCCGTGGTAGCCCAGTGGTCACAGAATCAGACTCCGTTCCGGAAAGACAGAGGTTTGATCTTCTACTTCGATAAGACCCACCGAAAAAATGCGATATAAGTATATTCATAATCGTAAACTCGTAACCTCTGTTGTATTGAAAGACCTGTGGTTGGTTGCTTAACAGTATAATGGGTACAAGAAACTGGAGAAAATTTCCTTCCCCTTCGGATCTATGTCTAAATTTGCGGAAGCGGCCTCACAAATCAGTGGTCCTGCCATCTGTCTGTGGGTTTCCGAGCTAAGACGTCGGATTATAGAATCTTCTTCTTTTAGTTTTTTGAGTAACTGTTTTGAAAAACTTTTGCTTGTTCAGTAGATAAATAATGAAAAAAGATTTTTATACAAATAATTTCTTTTTAAAAATAATATTTTATCAGCATTAGCATTTCTGAATAAATATCATACAAACAATTTATTCCTACAAACTATTTATTGTTTAAAAAATCCATTTCTTTAAAAAAAATCCATTCTTTTAAAAAAAATCCATTCTTTTAAAAAAAATCCATTGTCAGTTTATAAATTTATATTTAAAAATACAATAACAATTTTCTATCTTTCAGTTTTGTATTAGAAAATAAACATAAAAATGTTAATTAAAGAAAATATTTGATTAGTTTTTCTCCATTCTAATTTTCCTCTTTCAGAATTTAAAATGGTCGTTTTCCTATTATTGTTCTCATACTTTATTCAATTAGTGTCAACGTGATTACGACCTATCTTAATTATAATGAATTGAGAGGTAATAGCTCAGGAAGAAAAACCATGAAACAATACTTCATAAGATTACTAACAGAGGGAACTTAAGTTTTGTCGGAATTTAAGCTATTTAGACTCAGGTAATGCATAATATATTTATTTTAACAATTAACTTAAGAAATTGTTACTTAGTAAAGATATAGTTAGTTTTGTTCTTGTGTCGAATGTAAAATCGTATTCCTGTAATAAAGTAAGTCATTTAATTTAATTTTCCTGTTTTTAATTTTATTTACTGAATTCTGCTTAATCTATTCGATAAGCAAAGATTATTTAACAAAAAATTGTAATTTGAAAATGATATATGAGTTAATTTCTCTGTTGTGTCGAAAATACAACGTGTGTTGTAAAAAAATATATTTGTTTTGTCCACTGGTTTAATATTCATCAATTGATTTATGATCAATCCATTTGATATTAAAAGTACACTGAACTTAACAAATAGTTTTGTTAATGATATAATTATGCTCTTTTCATGCTAAAAATGCATGTGTGCTGCTGTAACGATTAAATTCAATTATTTTAGAAAACTGATTAAATTTTAATCTAATGATTTCAGCTTTATCTAGTTGATACTAAAAGTTTACTCAATTTGACAAATAACGTAATTTTATGGGGCGTAGTTATCTTTTGCTTTGTACTGAAAATACAATCGTATTATTGCAACCTTTAAAATGCATTTGATTCAGTTTACAAGTTTAACTTTACTAATTTATGCTTAATATCATTGATATTAAAGTGTTTACTCTATTCGACAAGTAGTAGGATTCTATGTGGTATGATAAAGTTTTGTTCGTTTTTAATGACGAAGACATATTTGTGCTGCTGCAACAATTAAATTCAATTATGTTAATCAGTTAATTAAATTTTAATCTAATCACTAAGCATCTAATTTTAATCTAATCGTAATTTGATAATGATATTGTTATCTTTTCTTTTGTGCTGAAACTAAGTTCGAATTGTTGCAATCTATGCATTTGGTTTAGTTAACTAGTTTAATTTTAATATTCTGTTTCATGCCTTATCTATTTGATATTAATAGTCTACTAATTTGACAAGTTGTGTAACGGAATAATGATATAGTTATGTAATTTTTTTTAGTTGAAATTTGCAAATAATTTAGTCGAAATTGTGCTGTGATAACAGATTCAATTGGTTTAGTCAACTGATTTTTAATCTACTGATTTTTGTTTAATCTAGTTCACTCAATTTGACAAACAGCTTGATTTGATAATGATATAGTTAGGTTCTTTTTTATGCCAAAAGTACATTTGTGCTGTTGTATCAATAAAATACAATTAATTTAGTCCATCGATTGCTTAATTTTAATCAATTGATAATAAAAATTTCTCAATTTTTCAAACATCGTGATTTGATTATGATAAAGTAATGATGCATTTTTTGTGCTGAAAATACATTTGTGCTGCAGTAACAGCAAAATTCAATATGCTTAGTCAAACTGTTAGATTTTAATCTAATGATTTCAGCTTAATCTATTTGATATTAAAGTTTACTCAATTTGACAAACATCGTAATTTGATTATGATTTAGTTATCTTCTCTTCTGAGTTAAAAGTTCACTTGTGTTCTTGTAAAAATAAAATTAACTTGATTTAGTTTACTGGTTTAATTTTAATGAATTGATTTAAGATAAATATATTAATTATTAAAATACAATTCAGTTTCATAAAATAGTTCTTATTTGGTTATAATACAGTTATCTTTTCTCTTCTGTAGAGATTACAATCATGCTGCAATAACAGTAGATGGTACTTGATTTAGTTCCGTGACTTAATTTTTATTTATTGACAATTTTTTTCCTAAAAAACTGTAATCTTTAAAAAACCGTGCTTACTGGTTAAGGGTACTGAACTGTCTTTGAGATGGACAGGGGTTCGATTCTCATTTGCCCGCTTGAAGCTCGTCTAACTTCAAATAGATGGATTCCAGCTTGTCTGGGAAATAATGACAGTCTATGCGTAACCACATTACCGGGTTCGAATCCCAGCTATGGCAGGTCGATACGAATTCTGCACACTGCTTGCACGGACCACAGTGCTGACGTAAAATATCCTCAGTGGTAGACGGATAATGGGTTATAGTCCCCTTGCCGTCAAGGTAACCGTGGAAGGTTTTCCTCACCATGTAACCCAAATGTGGGTTAGTTCTATCAAAAAGTCCTACACGAAGGAAAAAATTTCTCCCAATACTTGATCCAGAAGTTCTTTTGTCTTCTGGATTGGGTTCAAAATTACAAGGCTACCCAGTTCAATATTAGCAGTCGTAAGTCCAAAAAAAATTGGGTCAGCTGTTCAACGACGTTTAAAAATTAAAATAAAATCATGTCGTTGGCCTCGAAAATATAGACCCTAAGCCACTCTCGGCACACAACGGGCTGTTCTAGGAATATTTTATTCAGATTAAAGATTTTTCTAAATCCATTTAAGGTATAAAGCTTAAATAGAACCAATAAAATATTTTTGTTCAAAAGAAAAACTGAACGTTTATTCGGCAAAAAAAACTGATTTCGTTAATAATTGCGCTTTTCAAGGCCACCCAGTAAATTAACTGGCCCTTAAGATTTTAAGGCCTAACTTTTGAGATGATTATATTCCCTATAAAAATAATAGCGTTTCTCTTTACTTCGTTTAATTATTAATTTGAGATCGTGAATATGCAGGATTTAACGATTTTATTTTTTACAATGATTCTAAAACTATGTATTAAAGAGAGTGATTACGAAACATCCTGCACAAAGAGTTAATAAGGTAATTTATTAATTGTTGTTGTTTTTTATTGTAGCTTACAGTAAATGTACATTGATGAATCCCCACAGAATTGACTCTTGTAAAATTCTAATAGGAACCTTTGTTATAAATTTTTTAATTGCTGGTGCGATGAGACTTCAACCATTGATCTATGTTGAATCTTTAACGTACTACCAATCGGATAGAAAACTAGCCTCTCTTCCATTTGTCATATGTTTCCTACTAAGAAATATTTCAGGTAAGTTGAAAGAAACCAATTCATTGTTTCTAAAATATTATAAATATAGATAAATTGGAGCGCTTGCAAGATCAATAAGATAGGTGGCAGTTTGAGAACAATTTTTGGGTTTAATCCTTTGACGCATATCTTTTTTTTTGTTGTTGCTTTTTTTCTCATTATTTTGCATTGAGTTAGATCAAAATGAGTGACAAATATTATATCTAACACTTCAATGATTTATAGTTATGAAATACGACGTGGAAACACCGGTGTCTTTTTCTACGGTGTTAAAGGTAAAATCTTCCAAGCACGGCTGGCTTCCAAACTATCATTTTCAATATTCGCACTTTTTTTAAGGTGTTTAGATCATTGAAATTTCATTGAATTTCATTGATTGAAATTTCATTGATCATTGAAATCAATTATTAATAAATTTTTGAACACGAATGAAAAAAAATTGAAACTACTTTTTTGGATTTTATATTTAATACAAATATAATTCCAATAATCTGAACATATTTTTATTTTTTTATTAACTAGTACTTTTGTCTGTAATTAGAATATCAGAAATGATATATATATTCTTATTTGGTTATAATACAGTTATCTTTTCTCTTCTGTAGAGATTACAATCATGCTGCAATAACAGTAGATGGTACTTGATTTAGTTCCGTGACTTAATTTTTATTTATTGACAATTTTTTTCCTAAAAANATATCTTTTTCACCGCAAGAAATTTAAATCAATCAAAAGAGTGGTATGTTTATTCAGAGAAATTACATTTTTGCGTTTGATTTCGTAACTTAAAATATCGTTTGCAGTAATTAATTAGCATATTTGAGGTCACCTCTCAAGCAATCAAATTTGAGTCCCAGTACGTTAAAATCCGATCATGAAATAAAAAAATTATTTAGAATGTTTCATTAATTTTATTTTTTTCTCTCTCACTGTCTGTCATTTATGTATTATATATAGTTTTACGTGTTTCAGCATTGTTGTCTCTTAACTTATTTTATGAGAGTCAAAATTGTAGCAAACTCTGTCAAAATATTATTTTGAAGGTATGGATTAAAATTTATAAGTAGATGTATTTTTCACCGAACTTTTAAATATCTCGCACTGCTTAATAGAGCCAATATTATTATTTTAGATGACAAAGGAAATGAAATTAGTAGTTATAGCAGTCATTTGTTTAATTAGCATCACCTATGCTTCCGTAATTAAAAATTATACAGGTAAGAGTGGATTTTGGCAATTTATTGAAAATTCCGCAAATTTTATTAAACAATACATGCACTGCATCTCCATTTATAATTTTAGATTTTTCTGAAATTTCTGGATTTGAACTGAACGGAAGCGAAAGGTTTGTAACACCATATATCTATCTATCTATCTATATATATATATATATATATATTTCTGATGTTCCATTGTATGATTGTATGATGATTCATGTGTATCCATTGTTGTATAGAAATATATCGCTCTCGAGAACTTGTGTTTGACCTGATGTCTTAAGTAACAAAAAATGAATAAAGATAATATAAGATGTTGTCATATATATATCTTAGCAATTATTTTGAAATTTTTAAATTATAAAAGAGTCCAGTTAGATAAAAACTGGTTACAATATAAACGGCAGTAATGATAAAAGTATTAAGAAAACAATTACTTCCCATTTATTCCTCATTGAGCCACACAACCTATATTTCTTACGTTTTTTTTCTCCAAGTACAATTGATTATTTTTCAAACTCAGGCAATCATTCATTTTGTTACGATAAGATATAAACGAGATGTTCTTACAAAAAAAAAAAAANATATAAACGAGATGTTCTTAAAAAAAAAAAAAAAAAAAAAAAAAAAAATTAAAAAAATACAATAATTATAGATTTTCGTTCGTCGAACAAACTGTTCGTTGTTTTGTATAAAATATCAACTTTTAAGAAAAGAAACAACCATGAATGAAAAGTATTCACAGGAGCTGGTAAACGTAGCCTCCTAGCACTAATAATACTAAAAACAAGGATTTAGTTAGCAACAAAATTTAAGGAATTTAAACGATTTATTTAAATATTTCTGTTCTTCAGGGTAATAGTTTATCGAAATGTTTGTTTTCAAAGTTATTGTTTTTATTAAAGACAAGGATTTAGTTAGCAACAAAATTTAAGGTATTTTAACGATTTATTTAAATATTTCTGTTCTTCAGAGTAATAGTTTATCCAAATGTTTGTTTTCAAAGTTATTGTTTTTATTACAGACAAGGATTTAGTTAGCAACAAAATTTAAGGTATTTAAACGATTTATTTAAATATTTCTGTTCTTCAGGGTAATAGTTTATCCAAATGTTTGTTTTCAAAGTTATTGTTTTTATTACCACCGCATTTAATAAAAATACAATACTGAAAAGTAAACTTAAAAGAAGAGAAAAAAGGTTTTTTATTCCATATCTGGAGAATTAAGATAAAATTACCAGGATATTTTTCAGAATGTATAGTTTTTAAATGTTGCAAATTTACTACCTTATTCGGTAGTTTTAATAGTAATGGTAATTCTATTATTATGGCGATTTTATCACAGTAATTTTATTATCAACATGGTAATTTAATCATACCTCATTACGAGAAAGCAACGGTTAAAACTTTGGTTGTTCCCATAGTGCCAGAAAAGATTATAAATTTTATCAAGTTGTGGTATTTTTCACTACATTTTTTTCTTCTTCCGTGAATAGGTTACAATGCCTATAAAATCATCATTTATTCTGATAAGCACGTTTTTTTAAAATCTAAAATATCCTTAAAAATTAATTTTTATAATCTGATATGAAACCGATAATAAAGGTACAAGGGAGAGTCCGAAAATAACTGCCTCCTGGCGACTGTGGACAGACGAAAAATATAATGAGATATTATAGGTAAGGCGTAACTTTATTTTCCCATGTAATTGCGAAGTGCGTTGAGACATTTATTATACCAATTTATAAGGTTCAAAAAGCCCACCAAGAAAAAAAATTAGGTCTCTGAATACGGAAAAAGTACTGAATGGCTTGTGTGACTTCAGCATCGCTGTTTCCAAAGCACCATCTACAGAGATTCTTCATCAAAGCCGGAAGTCTCTTGGTGTGAAATTAGGACTATATGGTGAATAATCTAGGCACTTCCAATCAAGAGTTGCAATATCATTTTGCATTGCTGACACCGAGTATGGTCTCGCTTTGCCCTCATACACCAAAACGCCAGATATGAGAAGGTCAGGCCACTTTATCCAAATTACTTCCTTCAGTTTTGATATAGTGTGACAGTACCACGTAGCAGCGATGGTTACATCTTTCAACACTATGCAGCTTAATAGGAAACTTAAGTGTTTAATAGATGATGTGTTTTGATCGTCTTGGTGAAGACGTATTTTGGAGAGTTGTTCCTGTTTCTTTGTTAGGAAATGATTACCTTTCTTTTGTTGCTTGTAATCTTTATTTTGAATAATTAAATGGTTAATGCTGTGATTTAATTAAAGTCATTATTATTCTAAGTCACTGCACCTTTTCTTTTTAATACACATTAGATAAAAAAAAGAATAAGAAATGTTTGATGAAACAGAAAAATTTTCAAGCAAATGTTCATAAATGAGCGGAACGGTCTTTCATCTCTTGCACTTAATTCTCAACTCTTTCAAAACCTGACGGCTTAGTGCAATATTTCTTCTTTTCTTTTTTTTAAAGTTACATTCTTTTAACATGGTAGTTTTTTATCTATAATTTTTTATAAATTAACTGCTGAAAAAATTAAAACAATTTTTTCATAATAACTTCATTTTAATAAAACTTGTCAAAATTCAAGAAGTTCATAAATTCCTTATTTAAACAGAAGAAATATAATTTGTCTTTTTCCTTTTCAGGCCCGATTGCTGGATATTTAACGCAAGTTCTTGGAATAAAATTTATAATTGTTGCCGGATGCTTAATGTCAGTTGTTAGCACGGGAGCCTGTTACTTTGCCGATGATATAATAGACATTATAATTTTATGGGGAATTGTATTTGGTAAGTGAATTCAGTTATTAGTTTTATTTCTATGCAAGAATCGTATATTTGGCTATACATTTGGTAAAAAAAAATGTTGAAAATGGTAATCAAATTAAATCTTTCAATAAAAACCTCTGTTCTTTAGATAAAATATAAAATTCCGAAATGAAGTAACCTCAATTAAAAACTGCAAGGTTGGAAATTCATGATTAAAGACGGTTGTCTGTGTTGTCTATATTTCCTGCACTAGGTCAAAATGTGTTACACTGTCAAAGGTTCTTCACACCTTGAACGTCAAGAACTCTGGCTTTTTAAATAACAAGTGTTTGTGGGTCCAATTCATAATCTATCTATATATAATCCTAAAAAATTAGAAAAATTGGATTAGATTAGAAAATTATAAATCAATATAATGATTTCTAACTTTCTAGATGGAATAAATGGTTTGAAATATACTGCTGATGGTTTTATATGAATGGTTTAATTATTAAATTCTCTGGTCCATATAGCCTCATACGCTCCTGCTAATGTTCCATGAAATAACTTTTTTTTAAATTTTAAATTCTGTTCATTTTTAATTTCTGTTATTTTTAAACCTTTCGTATGCAAATTTATAAATTAGTTTAAACTCGCTTGTACGGATATATGTTTGTTATATTATCTTAGTTCAACTTATTTCAAATTCAAATTTTGAACGAAATTGATGGAATAGTTATAAATTTAACTCTCTATTGTGGAATTAAAGTAGACTCTTTTCCTCATATTTTACGAAAATAAATAAATAAATACAATTAAAAAAAAACGAGAACAGTCCTTAAGACTACTAAAAATTTATTAGTAGAAACTTTCAGAAGATGCAGCTATTTATAGCACTCAATCACGGCTCAAGTAACAGCGTAAATACAGCATAATACAGGCTTTACAACAGCAGACGAGTCAATGATCTGACTCAGGTCAGAACACTAATACAGTTTTGAGAAAAATGACACTCTTTTTTGGATATTTGATCCTGTTTTGTTGCTCAGAACTATCCCAAAGGCTCTCGCCGATTCATGAGATATGGTAACAATACAAGGCACAGTGGGCCAGAAGACTATGATCTTTGGCCAAAAGTCAAAAATTAAATTTCAACTAAACTATGTTTAGCCAGCTTTAATATCGCCCAAATTAAATATTCATAATTATTCCAGACATTATAATTTACTTTTTGGACCGACGAGAATACAAAATATGCTAAATTTTTTTTAAATGTAACTTTTAAATTTATATTTCAGAAATATATATAGGAATTTCACCTTACTGTTACATTTTTATGTCTGCTAAACAGCATGCTAATAAAAATCATATTTTATTGTTAATTTTATCAAAACTCTTTGAAAAAATTGCCATACTTTTTGGTTTCCCCATAGAGCTAGAAACACGGTAAATTTTACCATATTCCGGCAGTTTTTGTCATATATTTTTTTCTAAGTGAAAGGAATGTAAATTTTGATTTTGTCCTAAGTATAGAATTGAACTAAACACTATTTTCTTTACTTTTTTCGAAGTTATAATCATTACAATACTACAGAAAAATTAAATTATTTTTAAAAATGTAGTCCAATATAGTTTTATATATAAAATTAAAGTAACTTTTCTTTTTACTAAATCATAAAGCTTGTGAAATTTCCGTAACTCCCATAGAATAGAAACTAACCTTATAAATTATAATGTGCTGTTGTCTTAAGTACAAAAATGACTTTGACGCTATTTTTTAAGGAAATCAAAACCTAACAGAAATATTATCTTTTTTTTAAAATTATTATCGAGTTTTGTCTTACATAAAGAATTAAACTAGAGATTTTATTAACAACTTTTACTAAAATAAACACATGAAATTGCTATTATTAAAAATTTACCCAAGGCTTTCACAGATTTAATTTTTTGTAAAAGTTGCTAGCAATGAATTTTCAGATTAATTTATTTTTATAAAATGTAAAATCTGTATTAAATCTATACTGTTTTTTTTTCTTTTTTCTTTGATTTTTTTTTTTCAATCTGCGCATTTTAATAGAGGGCGTTGTTTTCTTTCGTTTTAAGTGTTTCCTTTTCATTTGATTTGCTTGTGAAATCGCTGTTTGACCTGGTTAATGTGAGTTTTTATTTTCTGATGATTTTGTTTAAATTTCTTTTCTGAATTGGTTCTATGTATTTCATGTCTTTTTTCCTGGACTTCTACGCAAAACCATCGGAGCACTGAGGGAGTTAATTTAGGCATTTGCCTTCTCCCTCAATAGAAAAGGTTTTGTTTTATGGCTACCGGGGCCGGTACCCCCTGAAGACGTCAGCTTCGGTGGTCATATTTTTATTTTTTTCGTTTCCCTTATTTCTATATTTATTCTTTCTTTTTTTGAAATTTCAACTGCTTTTAAGCGCGTTTTTTTTCCAAAGAAGTTTTGTCAATTTAGAATTAATTTTTTTGTATTCTTTTAGTATTATTAAAATAAACACATGAAATTGCTATTATTAGAAATTTACCCAAGACTTTTACAGATTAAATTTTTTGTAAAAGTTGCTGGCAATGAATTTTCAAATTAATTTATTTTTATAAAATGTGAAATCTGTATTAAAAGAAAAAACGTAACATCTGTATTGCCATTATTTTCACAGGTCTCGGCTATGGGTTCGCACAACAGTTGATGTCTCCATTCCTAAATCAACATTTTCCAAACCACAAAAACAAAGCCAATGGTGTTGTTTTTTCTGGATCAAGTTTAGGCGGAGTCTTCATACCACCTTTAATACACATACTCATTAAATCTTATGGTTTATCAGACTCCTTCCTTTTGCTATCTGCAATCGTTGCTCACACCATTCCTGCATGTTTATTGCTGAAAAATCCTGACAAGAAACTGAAACAAACTGATAATTTAAATTCCAGTCAACGTTCAATTCGGGATGAGGAAGAGAAAGAAGTAATTTCAGAATCTAATCTGCTGTCAATAGAGGATAAGGGAGACGAAATTCCAAACTCTTTAAAATCCAGCTCGTGCTTGATGCAGAGTAATGATGAAGAACTCGGGATTTCAAAGTCTTTCAAATCCAGTCTGTACTCATTTCAAGATAAAGAGATAACTTCAAAATCTTTAATATCCAATTTGTGCACAATTCAGAAAAAGGATGACCCTATTCCACAATTTTTGATTCAGGGGAAAGAAAACGTGGTCTGTGAAGATGTTCTATACATTTATAAAGAACAAAACAACGAGGATATTGTTTATGTTGAAGAAAATAAAAATGATTTAAAGTGTAGCACTGAAAATGACACTAAAGGCTTAGATTATGGATCGAGAGAAAGAAATGAAGATTTGAACAGTACGGCAGAAACAAATACGAAAGATTCACAAGGTAGAGAAGAACAAAATAAAGAAAGCATTCTAATTTCGCAAGCGATTGCACCCAACTTAAATAATTCAAAAAACAATCTTAATAAGGATACAGTTTTTCCTACGAAAAATACAATGTGCCAAAATGATGATTTTGAAAACCATAAGAAATTAGTTAAAAGTAAAAGCTTTTTAAACAGTAAAAACTTAAGTTTAAAAAGTTTCTCAATTTTTATTGATCCTGCTTATCTTGTTATTCTTATTATTTGTTCGAATTCCATCTTCGTATATTTAGCCTATTACACGATACTTGTAGATTGCATAAGAGACAAATCTGTCGATGAAAGCTATGAAATATACTTCGTAACTTTATTTTCCATTTCAGACTTTGTCGGCAGATTTGGGAGCGGATTTATCATTGATATGAAATTTCTAACTACAGAAATAATGCTAATAATAACATTACTTACCATGGGTGCATCTTTATCGGCTTTTGCTATCTTCAACGATCCTATTTTACTTTCATTTTTCAACATTATATTATCGATGATATTCGCTTTTAATATTTTTTTGAACATAGCACTGATTGTCGAAATCGTTGAAGAGGAGAAGCAAGTACTAGCACAGAGCTCTAAATTTCTGCTAACTATTTTCTTCAACCCACTACTGCCATATATGATAAGTAAGATTTTTATAACTATTACTTTCGTTATACAATGGGGCCCCAATTAAGTAAAGGCGCCTTGATTTTGTGCCGCAAATGGGCTCAAAGAAAAGTAATGAAATCGACACATATAAAGAAAGTTCTAAACACATATTTATAAGGAAAAACTTATTTCCTGCTTTACCTGGATAGGGAAAAACATCAGATAAAAAAAGGAGGAAAAAAAGTGCCCCGCTAAAATAAATTCACTTTTGATTGTTGCTAATATATTAGCTATGTTTATATTGGGAGTACAAATTAGTTCGGTCCGTTTTTTTTGTGGTCAAAAATGCATTTATTTCAGAACAAAATGAATGAACAGATTAATCAAAGTATTGCCTATCGCTGGCTACTACTTTTTCCCACCTCTCAGGCAATTTTCGAATTCCATCTCGAAAGAATGTCTCGTCTTTTGAGGCGATCCAAGTTAGGTGACAATTTTCGATTTCTGCGAATGAAGTTAACTGGTGACCTGCAAAATCATGCTGCATCTGTCGGAACAACCAGTAATCAGAAGGAGAAATGTCCAGTGAATACAGCGGATGCGGTGAAATGTCCCACTTGAGCGTTTGCTTATAATGTTTTGCGACTTTCGAGGCATCAGGCCGACAGTTATTATGCAGAAGAATAACTTTATCATGTCTTTGCTCGTATTCTGCCCTTTTCTCTCGCAATGCACGGCTCAAATGAATCAATTGTAGCCTATACCGATCGCCCGTGATGGAATCACCAGGTTGTAGCAGCTCATAGTATACAAAACTATTCACCATTTACCATTCCTCATTCACCATTCTTGAAACGTCGAAACCATTCCCTACATGATTTATCAGTTGGAGCATTGTCAACATAAACTTCTAAAAGCATTCGATGCGCTTCAGCTGCACTTTTCTTCCAATTAAAGAAGAAACATAAAACCTTCCGCAAATGGTACTTCATTACCGCAAAATTTGACATGTTCAACAAAGTAAAAAATGAGATTTTTGTATGAAACTCAAAGCGATATAAACTGAATATTATTGAAAGATGCTTAACCTCTCTGAAACCACCGAAACCAGCTATCACTATATAACATTCATAACAGCAGAGCCATTTTTTAAAAACGGACCGAACTAATTTGTACCACCAATATATTACCTGGAAAATATAATGCTGCGTACCATTTACTAAACCCTGGAGGACATTTGCATCAATATTATCCAACGTTTCGATGATGGCAATCTTCAATTTTACCACAAGCTGATAATTTGTGGCACATACAGTCCTACTAAGGAAAATCCCAGTGTTTTCTTCGGGTATAAGTCACGTAAAAGGGCAGGCTATTTCTGCTGAAATGCATCCTATTATCTTAAAACCAACACTCTGGAGATTTTGCAACGTAAATGGAGGCTTTGTTCTGATTGGGACACCAATTATCTCTGAGCGGCTATAAATGGATTTCCAGATATCAAATATAAAAAATTAAGAAAAAGTAAGATATATAAAATGAAACAGTATGTAAGAAAAAAAACCCAGAAAAAACTTCTCCAAATGGAACACAATGTGTAAGCTTCTGCTATGGATATAAGCGTCGTCTATGGTGATAAACTTACGGTGGCCATTTCTCCATACCGCCTGAAGACCACCAATTATATTGACTAGCATTTGAGGAGAGAACTGTTGAGGAAAATTGGATTTTAAGGCAAAAGAATGCCTTCGCTTACGTTTCAAAATCTTTAACGAGGTGGGCTTTTTGATTAAACTGGTGGATGTCATGAATGCCATGCCATTTATCACGACACCGATCCTTAAGAAAACGTAACTTCATCCTTAGAAAGGCTGTATATAAAAGAAACAGTTTCAATTTGTAGAAGAACTAGTAGACTGCTATCATAGAAACTTCACATCATATTCATGCTGAAGTCCTCTTCAGATTTGTAATTGGTTTGCAACACGACATATTTCAAGTCATGGAAAAATTTGGTTGATATTTTCAAATGGGATTTTATTTCATTCAAATGGGACTCATTCAAATGGTGGATGCATTCAAATGGGACTTTATTTCAGTAGGAAACTTTTTTCTCCTTCTTTTTACTTATTCGATGTTTTTTTTTCTTCATATCTAGGTGGAAAGGAAAGTGAGTTATTTTGATACAGTGTTTAGATATAGACTATAGAATTATGTGTTTAGATATAGACTTTCGTAATATATATGTTTGTTTCGCATTGGGTTTCTTTCCCTCAATTATGGTACAAAATCAAGGTTGCTTTATTTAAATGGGACACAATGTAATATGATAGTGGATAACATGCTTAACAACTGTGTTAAAAAAAGGAAGGGAAAAAAAGAAGAGAGAGAGGGTTCCATGTTGAATCGAAGAATTTTCTTCTCGGGCTTATAATGGTTTATAAGACAAATAGTAAAAGAAGGAGATTTTCAGACTTAAAGAAAAATTTCCGACAAGGTGTTTTAAAGTCAGGGTTACTCCACAAAAAAAAAAAATAATTTCTAATATATCAGCTATTAGATTTCCAAATAATGAAGTGAACAAAATCTTTAATTGAAATATCTAACCATTTTGTGAGTGAGTTTAACTTTTTTAACCTTAATCTGCTCAAATGTTCTTCATTAGGATCCCTTGTTATTGCAATTTTCAGTTCCTCAATCTGAATCTTTACTAAATTAGTTTCACAGATCTGTGAAAGAAACATCAAGTTTTTTTTTAAATTTAGATGTGGTAGGGTAAAGCGACGATGAGTTGAAAATTTTTCCTACTTTAGTGAAATAATCTCCTAATTATTTTATGTTATATTTGTTTGGTATTATTTTACGTAATAGTTAAAAAAATTTTAACTTTCCGCTCTTTTTTAAATATTTAATTTATTTGCAGGTCATTTCAGAATGACCCACGGGTCTTATGATGGTTTCCTCTATGTGTTGAGTTTACAGTGCTGCATTTCTGCATGCTTAGCATACACCATTCCTCATCTTGTTAAAAGAAGAGTAAACTCCAACTAGTGAAAGATTCAAGAACTTACCGATGAAAATCTTCGAGATAAACAAAGATTGGAAGTTGAGATATAAAAAAGTAATTGATTATCACATTCTATTGTTAAAAGAATGCTTTTGAACTTCAATTATCTATATCTGGAGTATAAGTCAATATTGAAGGCTGGAATGAGAACGAATGAATTACTATGTTCTTTATCTTTCTGAATTAATTCCTTGAAGAACGCATATTTCAAGCATATGAAGCTGAACACTTCTGTAAGTCATTATTCGAGGGTTAAAAAGGAAAGAATGAATACACTCCTCATTTTCTAAAAGAATACTTCAAAGGACACATAGTCCAAACATCTACAGCTGAACATTTTTGTATGACAGTATTGTAGGGTTGAAATAGAAAAGAATGAATTACTGCATTCTTCATTTTTCTAAAAGAATACTCCAAAGGACGCATAATCAAAGCATCTTAGAAGTGAGCACCTTTGTAAAACAATATTATAGGGTTAAGACAGAAAAAAATAAACAAGTGCATTCTTTGTTTTTTTAAATAATAATATTCCAAAGGAAGCATAATAAAAGCATCTAAACCCGAACACTTTTGTAAGACAATATTATAGGGTTATCAGTTGTAAGAAAGAATAAATTAATACATGGTTCATTTTTCCAAAAAAATACTTCCACGAAAGCATAATCCAGAGGTGAACACTTTTGTACGACAATATTATAGTGTTGAGGTAGGAAAAGATGAATTACTACGTTTTTCATTTTTCCAAAAGAATACTCCAGCGGAAGCATAATCCAAGCATACATAATAACATGGAGGGAACAGAATTTCTTTTCTCTCCGAAAGGGAAATCTTGAACCACATTTCTTGACCACCACATTACTCATGCTTTGTGGTAGTCAAGAAACACCACATTACGTGAGTTTATTATTAAGACTCACATTTCCCGACCACCACATTACTCGTGCAATGTGGTGGTCGAGAAACACCACATTATATGAATTCATTATTTTTAGCATTTTAAAATCCATTTTAAAATTAAGTGACGTAGAAATTTTGTATTGTGCTGAAGTTCAAATAAAAAAATCTTATTAACTGTATAATCGCTTGAAGAACGCTTTTCTCTATAAAAAAAAATTATAACGGATCTGAGTAGATTTTAATACAATCGTTTACCAAAAATATTTTCAGTGATTAATTTCGAGAAAAAATCGAATTATAAAACATTTCCGATTATTTTTTAATCTTCTGTTATTATTGATTCAAATGCTTTTTCTGTTTTAGTGAAAAAAATTATTTTCTAAAGTTAGAGGTAAACGAGTATCGTATGCATGTATCATTAAACACAAATTTAAATTTTTAACTTAATACAAGGTATAATATTGATAAAAGAAACCATTTTTTCAAATTCAATAGGCAATTATTTACTCCCGAAAAATATTATTACTATTGTGTTGCTTCTATAAAACAAAACAAAAACTATATCATGCATAAATATGCTTTCTGAAATACGTGTAGAATATGAAAAACATTAGGAAACTATAAGAAAATATAGTAGTCGGGGGGCAATTCGTGAAAAATACACGAAGAAACTGATTAAAACTATTAATGAATTGAACAATTATGAAATAAAATATCAAATCAAAAATAGAAAATTATAAAAAACTTCATGCGTTGTTACAGACATAAAATATTTTATTTAACTTAGAATTTTAAATTTAACTAGAGATTTTTTTTGCTAGAAAATCATCATTCACACTATGAAAGCATATTTATGTTTTTAAACAAACTTGTAAAACATGAACTATTTCCCCTTCATATAATTTGTTAAAAGTATTTATTTGAATTGTTGTCAGTATTCATTAATTTGAAACAAAACAGTTGAAAATCTCTTAAACTCAAGTTAAGCAAATGCTTGCTTTATCTGTATAATGTTTGACTGATAAAACCAGGAAAATAAATTAAAATTCGATTTTAATACCACATGCAATTTAATGTCCGTATGATTAGTGTATTAGCCTTAATGCATTGATTATATTATCAATTGCAATAAAAAGTAGAATTAACAAATAAAACGTGTGCTTTTTTGCTTCAATAGTTAAAAATTAATTTATAATATACACGATAGAAACATCTGCCAATAGAAAAAGATTTTCGTTCACCATAAAATTATTGTTTTGAGTCGCGATGGCTCAGAGGAAAGAGCGTTCGCCTTCTAGTGAGGTGAACCGGGTTTGATCCCGGGGATGGCAGGTCGATACGAATTCCGCATCCGGCTTGCGCCGACCACAGTGCTGACGGGAAATATCTTCAGTGGTAGATGGATCATGGGTTAGACTCCCCTTGCCGTCAGGCCAGCCGTGTGAGGTTCTCGTGGTCTTCCTCTTTATGTAACAGAAATTCAAGTTAGTTCCATCAGGAAGTCCTCCACGAATGCAAATTTCTCCCACTACTTGATCCAGGAGTTCCCTTGTTTTCTGAATTGGGTTTTAAATTACAAGGCCACGGAATTGAACATTAGTAGTCATAAACCCAAAAATTGGGTCTGCTGTTCAACGACGGTTATAAAATTAAAAATAATAAAAAAAAAATAGTGCGTGGAGTCCCTCCGCGCGGAAGAAGTTAAACGTCGCAACCTGCGACGTTAAATGTAGAAGAATCAGCAGTCGTAGAAGGATCACTAGTTCTATTCAACGACTCTTCTTTCCTGCTCCACTCGCTTCCGTGCTCTGTAATCACGGTAATATTGTGCATTTTTCCCTCGTAGACCTCTTGAACCAGTGGAAGTGCTTGTGGTTGCCTCATCGTCTCGCCCTGGGAAATGTATTTGTATTAATAATGTATGTGAATGAGTCATAATGTAATTTCAGAAGAGAAAACCTAACAATCAATTGATATTCACAAGAGACGTACCATGGCATAACCTTAAATCCGTCGCATTGTCCGTGGGATTGTTTTCACTCATTTTTTACAATTGTTATCCACTAAATTTGAAAATAAAAAATACTACCCTATTAAATTATATGTGTATCAAAGCAAACTAAAAAACTATTTATAGAAAAACAATACTTTTATGACTTTTATTATTTTTAAGCTAGTGAGAACCAAAACAATATGGAAATGAAAGAGGGGAAAACTGGATCCTACCACGTGATTTCCCGGCCAATAAAAATGTAGCGTTAAACGTTTAACGCAACCTTGTTGGAAATCGCATAAGAAGTATAACTTCAAAAAAATTATTATACTGCTGTGAATTGTAAATTTGAGAAATTGTATGGTTTATAGAAATATTAAACAATATACAGACAAAATATATCTACAAAATATTACTAAGCGTTATATGGGCACTTTTTTTGGTTTAGACAGCTTAGAAATCATTCTTAAATCTCTCCGTTTAGCAGCCATTGGAGTTAGAATTGTTAGTCCACTGCATAGAAAGCATAAGATAGTTAATGTGTAATACACTCCATCATACGATCCCAAACGACTTCGGAAGAAGCCTGTAATAATAACAAGTTGTTAATAAATGGCATAAAAGCGATAAAAAGAACTTAATGATTGAAAGAAATAGGTTAGAACAAATAGTTATTACATGTTAAAGAAATAACCCATAGAACATAAATGAAGCACGATATGTTTATTATTAAATTAATTGAGGGATGTTTTATGAGATTAGAATAAATCTGTTTAAAAGAGTATCTCTGTTTAAAACATGTTATAGTGTGAAAATAGTTTCCGAAGAGTCAATCGAAGACCAGAGAGAAAATAGAAGTTTCTTTATTAACATATTTGCAAATAGCTGAAGTAATATTTTATTTGGTGTTTTAAAACACCCATTGAAAATAGCATCGGCTAAACTATTGCTATCATTACATGGCTTAAACCATTTAAAATATTTAATTTTTCTTGCGTTTTTATATCTAACAATTCTTCGATTTAAACTCACTAATTGTTTAAAAACCTTTCTAGGCAAAAGAAATACAGATATTTAGTTAAGCTGAGGCATTTTAAGCAATAACACAAATGTAGGGCCATAAAAATTATTTTATTTTACAGTACAAAATTTAAAAAAAGGGCAATTTTTTAAAAATTTCTTTTTTATAAAGTTATTGTTCAAATCTTTAACTGTTGCTCTAACACCAGCCTTACTGTATAATGACAATACCGTAGGGTTTTTTGAAATTCAGTAAAACGAGACACTGTTTTGGGTAACAACGAGCTGATTATTAATGAAGCCATGATGATATAAAAACTTAGCAAGAAACGTACAAGTTGTTATACAATATCGGCAGTAATTCTGCATCACTTTATCCAGTCACAACTTAAAACCAAATGGGATACCTGCAAGTGACCTGTTGTCGGAATCTCGATCCTGATTGGTTGTTGAAGCGTGGCATTTATTTACGTTAGCAACTAATCTTCCCATTCTATTTCGAGTAAGCCAAACCCGTCAATTATCAATTATCTTAGATAACACATTCTATATTTTTCACAAAGATTCTTTCACAAGAATTAAATTCTTTCACAATATATTTCTCACTTTGCCCAAAGCCAGACACGAAACCACGTGAATCATTAGCTAACTAATTATACATCATAGTATGTATTTTGTATCCCAGGTACGCAAATGAAAAATATATCACGGTTATAATAAAATACAGAAACAAATAATAAATATAAGTTAAGTAAAAGACGTAGAAGAGAAATAAATCTATTTCAACAAACTTGTGATACGGCACTATATTTAATTAACTTCATATTAATTAACATTCTAACGTGTGTGGAGAAACTTAGCTCAACTTCAATACGCCATTTTGCTTATAAGCGATCAGCTGGCACTAACGTCTTAGATCCCATGTGTGGATGTCCCTGATCCTCTTCTTCTTGAAGTGCAAGTACCCAATCGCACAAAATTACACATATTGCAAGAAAAGCTTGGAAGTTATTCACTAATAACAAAAATCGCCGGCAATGAGGGATGTCAATGGGCAGACGAGGCACTTGTTTAGTAAGGGTCCCTGAATTTGATAATTGGAGAGAAAATTTATTTTAATTCAACGTATGTAAGAGATACACAATGTGTATACAGTGAAACCTGCCAAGTTGACCACCTTTGTAAGTTGGACACCTGTATGAGTTGACCTCAATTATCAAGAATGTAATTTTTCCTATATAATATAAAGAAGCAAAACTTTTGTAACTTGACCACCTGCCTATCTTGCATGTTGACCATTAAAATAAGTCAATTTTGTCAAGGAGTATTATGAAATTCTATTCTAAAACCCTCATAAGTTGACCAGAAAAAAAAAAATCAGAAAATTTTCTGTCATTTTGAAATGTATGTTAAAATTTCACTTGTTTGGTGAAACAATGTAAAAAGCTAATCTAAACCCTTTTGTGAGTTGACCATCTGGGAAAACTGTAGGGGGTCAGTTTTTGACCATTTCTTTCATTCAAAACATTGGGCTGATGTAAAGTCTAAACAACAGCTCCAAACAACAATGAGGGAATATTTTTGTAACAAATAGGTTTGCAAGTGTAGTAATAACAGAATAAAATTTAAAGTGTTCAAATAATTTTGTTTTGTTAAAGTTTTCAAATTACATGTTTTCGTGTACTGATATTTTAAGAAATTATTTTTATTAAACACTTCACATGCATAACTAACGAAATAATTTATTTTTAATAAGTTAGTTAATTAGAATTATATGTAACAAATTGAAGTTCATTCAGGTTTAAACACACATCTTAAGATATTCATTTGGCTATTGGCTAAGTAAAATTTTTAAGTCAAGTAAAATTTTTTTTAAATATATAGCAACATGATATAGGCAGCGAAAAAGTAAACAATGACCCACCCCCTCTATAAGTTGACCCCTTGTTGACCACTAAAACAATACACCACAAGTGATCAACTTACACAATTTTTACTGTAACTGTGTTATTCTTCTAAATCAGGACTTGAAAAACCATCAAATGTTTATGTATCAGTTATAAGAAAAAAGTATTATAATTTTGAAACTTACCTATAAGAGGCGACTGTGATAAACTAAGAGGTCCGTAGAGTGACAATCTTGATGCTAAAGCCATTGTAACTTTGTCTTCTTCCACGAAGTCGGATACGATTCCAGGAAAGACGATTAGAAGACCGCCTAACAGTAATCCAAACGGAAGCATTGTTGTCATCAATAATGCAAATCCTCTTACCCAAACAGTCAACAGTAAAAGCAAGCCCATCACTGTGTAACAGGACGCAGTAAACGCAGTTTTAGTCATGTAGCCTGAATCTGTTATGAAGCCTAGTCCAAAGCGTCCTACCATATCTGCAATGGAGATACCCATGACAATATATACTTCTTCCTGACCTACAACTCCAATATCTTTGGAATAGTCAACAACAATAGTGAGGGCCGTTGTGGTTATGTAAATGAAGAGACTCTGACCAATTAATATAAGAATAAATGTGATGTCAAAAAATACAGTAAAAGATCTGAAAGCTGAATTGTTTTCATTTGTTGCTGGAGCGTTACTAAACGCGTGAGAATCTGATTTTCTTCTTTCAGATGATATTTCATGGACGGAATAATCTTGAGATAAAGTGTTGTGGCAGTTGATAGGACGAGCATAATCATTTGATGATCGATGATAATTATTTAGAGCGCAACTATGGTCAGCCGATGAATAGTAAAAACTACGAGAGTTTTCAGGAAAACAAGGAGTCTTTTCAGATTTCTTTACGGCAGGTTGAGATTGGGAAATGGAATGAGATGAATTCTTGCTGGAATCATTTTCATCAGAGTCATCATTTTTCTCTGAAACATTATCGATTTTACGATGTTGGTGAGCCGGGTGGGATTTGGTGATTGGTTTCATTTGTGTTAAAAATAAAGCAGCTGGTAAACTGTTTAAAATTAAACCAGATAAAATTAAAAACGTTCCTTGAGTGCCATACTTATTTAAAGAAATGTCAAACAGTACTGGTAATACGAAACCAGCTACACATTCCCCAGCAAATGCTATTCCATTCGCTTTGGCTATATCAGCTGTAAAATGTTGTCTTAAGACTTCCGGTATGAGAATAGTAGTCAGTCCTAATCCAAGTCCTGTAAAAGAATGAAGCACTTTAAATTTTACAGAAAGGATTAGCATATGGTAAAGACAAAAAAAAATTTACAGCTGGACAATAAAGTTAGGGTAAGAAGTTCTAAATCATGTAAAAGAATGAAGCATTTTAAATTTTACAACAAAGCATTAGCATAAGGTAAAGTCAGAAAAAAATTTATAGCTGGACAATAAAGTTAGAGTAAGAAGTTCTAAATCATGTAAAAGAATGAAGTATTTTGAATTTTACAACAAAGCATGAGCATAAGGTAAAGACAAAAAAAAATTTACAGCTGGACAATAAAGTTAGAGTAAGAAATTCTAAATCATGTGAAAGAATGAAGCATTTTAAATTTTACAACAAAGCATTAGCATAAGGTAAAACCAAAAAAAAAATTTATAGCTGGACAATAAAGTTAGAGTAAGAAGTTTTAAATAATGGAAAAATTAGAACCTTACCAAACACTCCTCCCCATAAAATAGTGACTATAACTATATCATCTGCAAAGAAGCATGATCCGATACCCAGTGTAGATAAGATACAACCAGAGATGCAAACTTTGTGAAAGCCCCATCGGCGTCCAAGATATCCAATCAGAGGACCTTAAAAATATTAGAGGTGTAAAGCAAAATCTAATCATTCCTTTATTTTTAAATGAAACTTAATGCCCATGGAAAAAAAACGTTAATTGGACATCACAATAAATGTAATTTTTAAATGAATTACATTAGCTGAATAAACAGAAAAAGTATTTTCTTATTTGAGCCGCGATTTCCGAGTGGTTATGCACTGAACTGTCACTGTGAAGTACTGGGGCTCTATCCTCAAAGGCAACTTGTAACAGATTCAGATGGGTATGTACCATCTAGTCTGGAAAATAAAGGTGACCGGTGCGCAGTGCCAACCACATTGCCATCATGCAGTTGGTTACGAAAAGGTGGAGCCTTAACCTATTCCATCTCCCTCCCCCACCCATAAAGGGCTGTGGTGAAAATGCTTTTTATTTATCTTCAAAAAATTTAAAATATTTAAAGAAAATTCTGCAAATTTTTTTATTATTCATTTAAAATGAAATGAATAAATCGTAGATTAAGAGTTAAATGCATAAAAAAAATATATTTAGAACTCAATCTAATAAAAAAATACACGTTGATATACTTGATGAAATTATATTTTTTTTTCAAATCTGAAATTACTTTTTTTTTCTTACATACTTGAAAAGTAGGGATTGGTTGATTCATTTTTATTGAATGTGCAATCTAATGGCTCAAAAGAAATAGAAGCTATTCTGCACCAAATACAAATGACATTAAAGGCTATTAAAATATTCCAAAACTTTTTTAATGTGATTTTTAACCATTCCCCCATCGGTTGTTGGAATACTATGCATTATGCGTTCATTGCAAACTTTAAAGAAATTGTAATGACTATATTTTATAACCAATTGCATCCTTTGTCAGCGAAAATAAGCAAATTAAACCACTCCTTCTAATTTAAAATACAAAACTTAAACATTTCATGATTGACGTTTAGGTCTTCTGGTTTCTAAAAAAATGAAATTGAGCATTAAAACGAAGCAAATTGCATGCAAAAATATTAAATATTTACCACAATCTATGTGTAATTAACACTGTATAATAAATAAATGCAGAGAGGCTCAAGTTCAACAACTATAACACACCATATACTGATTTATTACAACAATTTATTGCAACAATTATAACACACCATATACTGCGACTTACCTGCAACATTTCTGACAGTATAACATAGCACAAATGGTAATGATGCTTCAGCTCTGCTGACACCATAGTGATCCATAACGGCAACAAAAAGCAAGCTGGACAACCTCGCTAAACCAAGAAGAAGAAACGTCAGAAAACAGCAGATCCATGCCACATACCAGTTAGCCTGCCGAACCTCTTCCTTCATACTATAGAGATTAAAGAAAGAAAACGAAATTTAAATATGACGTCTCTCAAGATTCAAGACAGAGACTTTCTAACAACAACTTTAATTTGTAATTTGCAGTTAGTATTACTTCACATCGAAATCACAGAACATTTCTGTCAGTGAGACTGCTTATCACTATCTAACATCTAATTGTCTAGAAACACGTACTCATCATAGATAATTAAACACTTATTAGTTTCACATTCATCTAGTATGCAACACAACTGAATAGCATGGTTCCATATCGAAATCTCAGGATACTGATGTTAGTACGGCGGCTTATCAGAATCTGAAATTTATCGACATACACAATTGTTGAACAAAATTGAACACTTATTAATTTCTCGTTCATCTAGTATCCAACGCAACTCAATAGTGTAACTTCATATATGAATCATATGACATTTGCGTCAGTTCACTGACGAATCAGAATCTAAAATCTAGCAACAAACACGATGGCTAAATAAAATTTAACATTTATATTAGTTACATATTCATCTACAATGTAACATAGCTGAATAGCATTATTTCATATTGAAGTCGAAGGATGCGTCACTACGGTGATGTATCAGTTTCTAAAATCTGGCTACACATACAGGGACTGAGCGAAAATGATCACTTATTAGTTTCATATTCATTTAGCATGCAACACAACTGAATAGTATTATTTCCTATCGAAATCTGAAGATATTTTCGTCAATAAGGCAATGTATTAGTTTCTAAAATCTGACAACACATACTGGGGCTGAGCAAAAATGATCACTTATAAGTTACACATACATGTAAGTATGCAGCACAGCTGAATAGTATTATTTAATATTAAAATAAGAGGATATTTACGTCAGTACGGCGATGTATCAGTTTCTAAATCTTGCGACACATGCAGGGGCTGAGCAAAAATGATCACTTATAAGTTACACATACAAGTATAAGTATGCAACACAGCTGAATAGTATTATTTAATATTAAAATAAGAGGATATTTACGTCAGTACGGCGATGTATCAGTTTCTAAATCTTGCAACACATGCAGGGGCTGAGCAAAAATGATCACTTATAAGTTACACATACAAGTATAAGTATGCAACACAGCTGAATAGTATTATTTCCTATCGAAAACAAAAGATATTTACGTCAATGCGTATTAGTATCTAAAATCTACCAATACACACAGAGCAAAAATGATCATTGATTAGTTTCACTTGCATCTATAAATATGCAACACAGCTGAGCAGTATTATTTCATATTGAAATCAGAGGATATTTACTCCAGTATGACGATGTATAAGTTTCTAAAATCTAGCAACACACACAACACGAGGGGCTGAACAAAATAGATCACTTATTGGCTTCACATTCATCTAGTATGCAACTCAGCTGAAGAGTTTATTGATGACTTTGTTTTGAAAACGCATGCAATTGAGTGTAATAAAATTAATTTGTAAGTACTTTATGTTACTTTGATTTGGAAAGAAATCATATGAACGTTACAAAATTCATATTTATGAGAAATAAAATTACTTTTGTCCTTTAGAATAATTACGATCATAATGTTTCTGTAAATGGTTTTTAAGAATAGATAAAAATAAATCTTCAGCCATTAAACCGTTTATTTTTTTCTTATGATAAATCCAGTTCTGAGATTTAATATTTTTTTATTATTAATAAAACAATGTTTTTCAACCATTAGTGTGGTTTTGTAACTCTAATATAGTAGAAAAAACAGTGGATGTTTGTCACGTTATTTACGAAAACGTTTTTTTTTTCTTCTTAAGTTACAAAATTCTTAAGTTGACATTATTTGATAGGTTATCGTTGTTATTATTATTTTTTTTATTGAAATTATAGGCTACTCTTTTTTTTAAAGATTGTATTAACTAGGTCAAACTGGTTTACCTGGTTGTAACCTGGATACAAAAGGTTGCAGAAGCAACGATATGCACGGTTTTATCAATTTTCGGCCAAAGGTGAGCACCATTTTAATAAAAAAAAATTTTATTAACACTATGGAGAATATTTTTCAATAATTTTATTTTTCTGCTGTTTTAAAGGGTTCGGAAGACATCTATAAAATATTAGTGATTCAATTGGAGTAAATATTTTCTATTGAGAAATTTTCAGAACACGCTAGTTTTTTTTCTTCTTTTTTTTAAAAAAAAAACTTCCAATGGTTATTGAAAAAGCTCATGTTTTGAAACTTTATAATCATTCTAGTTGTTATTTATTACATATTTTTATAATGGGTTAAACTTGTAAGTTCTGAAAATAAGATTTAAAAAAAAATAAATAAATAAAAAAATTAGACATTTTTAATTCAAATTTAGTGGTGCGTTAACGCACCATCGGCCGAATGCATGAAGAATAGGCAAAAATTGAAAAACCACTTTTTTAAAAGGTTTCAGAGATTTATTGAAGTTTTATTGTATTTCAGAGTTTTATTAGTTTTATTGTGAAGTTTTTTTGATATCAGAGTTTTATTGTGCTGAGGCTAACAGTGATAAAACAAATATGCCATTATGAACAAGCGTTGCTCTGAAGTTACTTAGTGTTGTTTCAAAACCTGAGATACGCAAAAATTATTTTGATAACTTTTTTTCCCTGTATTTTATTCGAAATTTTGAAAGGAAAAAGTTTCTTTTCATCTGGCACAGCTCGCGAAAATCGCATAGCTGGTTGCATGTTGGTTGCACCATGCAAAAATATGAAGGAAAAAAAATATCGTGGCTCCTCCGATTTTGCATTCAACAAGGATGCAGTGACATGTGCAATAAAATGGAACGATAATGATGTTTTAACAATTGTTACTAAAATAACGGTACCATTTCGTCCCTCGTAAATACCAAGCGATACAGTCACAAAAAAAAGAAAAGAAGTTGTAAATTCACAACCCAACGTTATTTCGGATTACAATAAATATATGGGCGGTGTAAATCTACATGACAATGACATAGCTAATTCCAGCATCAAGATTCAAGGTAAAAAATGGTGGTGGATTATTTACAAACATCACTGATAGTTTTATAGTAAATTCATGGAAGCTGCATAGAATTTCAACTAGCTCAAAAATATCACTTATAGACTTTAGCTCTTATACAGCTATTGACCTATTGAAATCTGAATCCAAGAACAATCCATCTGGTGAAAGTACATTACAAGTTACCCATCCTAACAAAGGTCGCCCATCATCCACATCTCTACTAAAAGAAGTACGGACTGATAGAATTGGACATGCAATGAGTGAGCATGAAAAAAAAAGGAATAAAAAGAAACCCGCAGACGATGTAAAGTGTGCAAAAACCGCACGATTTATTTATGCATCAAATGCAACGTCCATTTATATCTAAAATGTTTCGAATGTTTCCATCAAAAATATAACTGCTGAACTAAACGAATTGATCATTGATCTGGCCAAAGGTGCGTATACGTAACTTTTTATATCTTAAATAAAATATTATTTTTCATGCAAGAAACTTACTTTTTGTCTTAACGAAAGTAATTTAAGCATATTTCAATGAAAATAATACTACATTTTATAAAATTTAGATCCTTGGCCTAAAATGGGTTAATGAACCTACCTTCATAGCTCGAACTGACTTCAATCTTCAATTTTATTTTTATTACAACGTTTTTAGTAACTCGCCTTTATATCTGTGAGAGTGAAAACTTGCAATGGAANAATTACAATATTAAAATAATACAACTAACTTTAAAATATTAAATCAAGCAAAGCTTATGACTTTGCATTGGCTCGCCCCCCCAGTCAAAAAAAAGTTGGCACGCCACTGGCTCCATGTCTAATAACAAAACAAGTTTCAATCATTTCCTGAGCTCTACAGGCAAAAATCGTCATTTCACCACGAAATAGAATTTATTAGCAATCAAATTTCAACTATTTTGTGACTATCTAGGGTGATCAGATTTAATCTGGATCTCTGTACCTGATAGAAATACAGGTTTCAATCGTTTCCTGAAATTACAATCTGAATTTATAGCCATATTATCGACAAATGGGATTCATTGTCAATTACTATACCGACCACTGAACAATTACTTAGAGTTTTTAAAACTAAACTGGAACTCTGTACGAGTTGACGCACAAGTTTCAATCGATTTCTGACCGTTAAGGAAGAGAATCTTAGTGCCATATGTTTGCCAAATGAAATTTATCTCCAATCAAAATTAAGAGCAAGAAAAATTTATCGCCTCTTCTTTATCGCTATTTTATCTGATTTAAATAAACTAACAGTTACAAAATTGAAAATGAGAAAATGATAAAGTAACATTTATTAAAAAATAAGTTTTCCAAATAGGGAGGTACTTTTATTTACGTCACACTAGAGCTTCACAACAAGCTATTGGCGACGGTTTGGGAAACATCCCTGAGAATGGATCCAAAGACATGCCATCGCAATTTTGATCTTCTGCAAAGAGGATGGCTCCCCTGCTTTGGTAGCCCGACGACCTGCGCGCGAAGTGGAGCAGTTTACGGTAGAACAATTTAACGAGAACCTTCTGCGCATCTTCGGTCCCTACGCTGGCTGATCAAAGTGGTCACCCACCCGCTTACTGACAGCAGCCAGTGATGCTTGAATTCGGCTGTCTACTGGGAACCGGGTCTTTACGATCAGTCCACTGCGGGACTTTTCCAAATAGATTGAAACGAAAAATGTTGGATGCACCATTTTAGTAAGACACTTACATCACAACCGAAAATTCTTCCTTTCCTCTTTCGTTTTAAGTCTAACTTATCCCGCAGTGGACTGATCGTTAAGACACGGTTCCCAGCAGTTCACCGAAGTCAAGCATCACTGGCTACGGTCAGTGTGCGGTGGGTGACCACTTGGATCAGCCTGCGTAGGGACCGAAGATGCGCGGAAGGTTCTAGTTAAATTGTTCTACCGTAAAGTGCTCGACTTCGCGCGCAGGTCGTCGGGCTACCGAAGCGGGGGTGCCATCCCCTCCGCAGAGGATCAAAATTGGTATGGCATGTCTTCGGATTATCCTCCGGGATGTTACCCAGACCGTCGCCAATAGCCTATTGTGCAGCTCTAGTGCGACGTAAATTAACAACAACAACAACAAAGTCTAACTTATTCTAAATTATTTTCTCCTTCAATCCACCTTCAAAACATAGTTCTCAAAATTTGATTTAATAGTTTTTATAATCCTTCCCAAGTTCCCATACCACAACCAACAAGAGGACCACTTCAGCCATGACAGATTTACTGAATGTGCTACCGAAGTATCATTACGCCAGAAGCACAGGTGACCTTGGTTCTTATCTCAGAGCAATAATTCGGGTAATTTGTACTGCTCTCGATTTGCACTGAACATGAACTGTCATAATCCAATATAGAACAACTCTAACGCATCTGTCAGAGTCTCCTTTCCAGCTTAGCTAACCGGAAGTTTTCTTCGCAATAGACGTTAATATCACTCAAAATGTTGCACGAGTGGAAAGAAGCTGGTCCCAATGATTCGAAAGTTTTTTTCCGAATCAAAGTTACAAGGACATGAAGGCTATAGCTGAAAACTCACCTCTAAAATAGGCTATTTAACGACGGTGATTGAATTAACTAAAATTATAATAATTAAAATACAAAAAATTTATACAGTAATAACTTATTATTTGCAGCAAACTAATAGGCAACTGTTCCGAAGCGTTTAAAGCAATTATAAAATATTATGATATATATTGTATCTATATTTAGTGCACATGCACTTTTATCAAAGAGCAAACATAAGTGGTAAACAATTTAGTATTGATATCGCGTTATGCAATTTATCAAAAGCTAAAAATAGTAATGAATTTCTAAAGAGGAAATAGCTCGAAAAATTAATAATGAACTTTTCTTTTGCAATTCTTTTAGTTATTCATCGTTTTACAGTACATAGAATTCCAAATTAGAAAGAAATTTTTTGTGAGGGTTTTTATTGTTATTTTAATTTTATAGCAAAAATAATGAAACATAAATTGAAAAAAAAAATTTATTGACATTATTTGCTTAGACCTAAATATACTAACGATTTGTCACTGTATGCTTTATGAAATAACTCACATATTTTTTTTAAAATTAGCTTTGTGCAATTTTATTAATTAAAAAAGTTTTCATAACATTTTTAAAATTAAGTTTCGATTTTAAATATGTAATCTTTATTTGGATTTTTATTTCTCCGACTTTACTACCAGAATTATTTTTTTCAATGATCTGATTTTTTTCCAACTCCGATTTTTATACTTGACGTTGGGAGCAAGCATTAGCAACTTATGTAATACGGAATTCTAAACATTTACTCTAATGTATTTTAACATAACTTTTTATCCTATTAATATTTAATTTATTAAAAACCTATATTACAACTACATTGCTTACTTATACAGTAAATTCCTTAATGACAGTCTTTACTATGTACATGTATTTTTAGAATCCTCTTCAAAACTGAAGACAAAAAGAGAGTTGAAAACACCTCAGAGTTTCACCAGCAATCAAACTAGTTTTGATATCTTTAATCCCACCGACCTTGTTAGAGATTCAACAGGTTTCAATAGTTTATTTATTTATCTCACGCTTAAATATTAATTTTCCATCTTTAGTATGCATATTTTTTGACATCATTTTTCATATTGATTCTAAAAAACTAGGTGAACAGAATGTAGAAATGTTCTCGTGATAAGTATTTTTTGTTTTGGAGAAAAATATGCACTTACAACAATAGAAAGTGAAAAATAATTTATCTTGGCACTGAAAAATTTAGAATTTAAAATTGTGAAAATTACATCTTGCAAAAATTCTCTATTTTATTTGGAAAGTTAAAATTTTTTCAACTTAGATATTAAACAAATTCTTGCATTTTTACAGAATTAATATTATTTTATTTTATGTAACCCAATTCTGCAACCAAATCCCAGTCAACCCAATTCTGAGTTTACGACTATTATGTTCAACTCAGAAGCTCGTAACTTTGAACTCAACCCAGAAGACAATGGAACCACTAAATCAAGCAGTGGGACAAACAAGCCTTCGCTGGAACTTTTTGATGGAACAAACCGCATTTATGTTACATGGAAAGGAAAACCACCAACGCTTAGTTCGGTGGAAAGAGAAATGATCACTTTACCAGTGCAGATAATTTACATAAGAAATGTGTTCGGTTTTACAAAATTTAGAAGTTTCCCTGATTCTTTTATGGGCTCTAAGGTAGCTAGATCCCTTGTTCAGAACTTGAAAATATATAAAACATTTCCGCCACAGCCCATTGTGAGCCAGGGGGAGCCATGAGTCACAATGGCTACGTAGGAACTCGTCGATGACCACATAGAGTCAGTTATTTGCCTAGCTGTAAAAGCCAGCTAGCCAAATAATTGACTTTTAAATGTTGTGATTTATAGCATTATTATTGATTATTATCATCAAAGTTAGGTATGCGAGAGATTTCACCTTGAAAATGATTTTAATGTTTTTCTGAACAAATAAAATACATCTCTCATGAGCAAGATGTAGTGTTCTTGATTAGTCTTCCACGCTAATTTAGCCACGTGATCAATTTATGTCTAATTAAAATCAATATTATTCCGTTCTCTTGAGAAAAATGATGAAAGATCAATTCATGTATTGAATTCACGATTGAATTTTGCTAGCATAGAACTAAAAACTCTGTTAGAAAACTGTAATAATATAATCTCTTCTCTTTTCTTAAAAGTACTAATTTTTCAGATTCATACGATATAAAATATCTCTAAGTAACACAGATGTTTACTTTATGCATGTTATTTACACAATATTTTTTTATTCTTGTAAAATGTATTTAAAAAAACTGATCTTTTTCCCAACAAAATTCGTTAAAATATTTGAATAAGTTATCATAAAATAAGAATTAAGTCTGAAATAATAAAAAAAATTAGATCATTGAAATAACACTAACATATCGACGAGTCAATGAGTTTTATAATGGAATGTAATAATCAAAAGAAAAAGTAAATTTGAAAACAACCAATTTCTAATTTCACGTTAAGGGAACAGTATATAAAACTGAATATAGTAGAAAACCTGTATGTATTTTGTACCCCAGAAAATGTTTCTTTGTTTTGAAGAGTTAAAAAAAAAGACGTTGAAATAATAATAATAAATGAGCTATAAACAAAATTTTATTTCGTATTTTTAACATTATATTTTTAAGAGCTTCTAAAAAAAACAACTTTAAAATGACTTTAAAACCAATTTGTAAACTTTAAATTTGCGTCTTATTATTGGAAATTTTAAAATTAAATTCGTTTATAATAAAACTCATCTGTTGAAAAATAAAAAAAAATAATTTAGATATGAAATTAGTATGCATTCAATTTTTATTGAAATTACATAGCAAAGTATATATTTTCGATTTGAGCAAGTATTGTCATAGGATTGTATGTCAATGATTTGAAAGAGAAGAAGAAAAAAAAAGAAAACTGAATTGATAAACACAATTTCTAATTTAACTTTCAGTTGACATAAAAATTACAAATAAAAGTGATTTTTAAAAAAATGTCTTCATGTTAACACACCTAAAAACTTACGTTTCGAATAATTAAATAAAATGACATCAAACTATCAAGAATAAATCAACAATAAATGAAATTTATCATATTTCGAATTTTTCGTGTCTCGTGACAGAATAAAACAACACAATTCTTAAGTTGATTGCAAGGATTTATTTATTTTATACGAATCTCATTATTAGAAGTTTTAAGTATTAAAATCAAAGTCCTATACAATGAAAATCATTTATTAATAAAATAATCGTATAGTATAAAACCAAATTTAAATCTGAAATTACCATGGATTTAATTTTTACAGATATAAGGTTGCATAATATATTTACGATTTGAAAAATCAATTTCGCATTACATATAAAACTAATTATTTTCAAAAAATATTCATGGGTACATACCTGAAAATGTTCGTAAACTTTCAAGATTTAGAAAAGCTAATTGGAATCAATTAAAAAAAATAAAATAATGAATGGAATATAATTTCTTTCCTTAAAACCATAACATTTTCAGCTTTTCACGTTTCATTTTCAAATAAAACAAAGCAATTTTGGGGACAATTAGGGGTATTTTTTTTATTAAAAAAAACCATGCAAAAGGTCTACTGCATCGAATTTTTAACTTAAAACGTCCTTCGATTAAAATTTTTGCATGCTTTACGAACTACATTGGATTTTAACTTTCTTGTGCACTGTTTACTTTAAAACAAATTTTCTGACGTATTCGTCTTTTTTTGGTTTCTGCGCAATTTTATGCGCAGCATACTAATGACGCCGGCTATTTTGATCAGATTAATTGAAGTTATTTATCAACGCTTTGGTTTCGCAAAAACGAACAATGTTTCATTTCTAAGGAAATGAAGAATTCGTTTATTTTGCTTTACTTACATCTGCGCTTTTGAATAATTGTCAAAATGCTTTAATTTGATATTCTTACACAACACAGCATGAAATAAAATGAAGAGTAAAAAGTATTAAAAAACTTAACCTTCTACAATTACTAAATTTATTCTCGATTTCTAAGAAGCGTAAACAGATCGTTATCATTAGCATGAGAAAGAGACAGATTTTTTCTAAGATATCAGGCCGTTCACATGGAATAATTAATTTCAGAACTATTGAAGAGATGAAACTTATTATGGTTTTTCATTAAAGTTCTAAACAGATCTTAGGTAGTTATGATAAGGGAACCACATGTTAAATATGCACAGTACAAAAATTTTATTCAAAAACGCGATAGGCGAAATTCCGTGTCGTATAAAAGCTAATTAAGGAAATAATTACGGGAAAGCAGAAATTCGTTTTAAAAGTTTTGGGTTAGGTCTAATGAGAAAAACAAATTAGATCCCTTTTTCGGGATAAGGTTTAGCCACCATGCTGAATTTACTGAAGTGGGCATTACCAAGTTGACTAGCGTCCTTCCAAAACTAAAAAAACTGGTCACAAAATTACAGTTACTAAATGGATATAGTAAAACTCAATGCTTTACCATTCTAATTTAATATCGTAAGAACAGAAATAGTATTTTTTCTTCAAATAACTGGAAAGGTTAAGATTTTGCTCTTCGTTTGTTTGTTTAGAAATTTAGCTACTAATTTTTTAATTTTGGGAGAACACTATAGTCAACTTAGCATTACGATATAAAACAAAGTGAAGTATTAATTCCCATGTTATTTTAATATTTTACGGTGAATTTAACAAAATTAGCCGAAGACGACCCGGCTTTAAAAATTCTGAGTAGGCCCTGGTAGCTTGCCTCTTACTTAGGGATCATGTTGAATTTGAAGGGTGGTTTTAAAAGCGATATATCTAAATATTGCGTAGATGTATGAGATATTGATATCTATGTATTTTTCACGTTGTATCAAATTAAACCAATCCCAAGTCAACCGAGTTGTAAAAGTTTTGAGTTAGGCCCCAAAATGAATATCTGAAATTCGCCCTAGCTTTCACCGCCATGTTGAATTTACTGAAATGGGTTGTGATTAATAAAGAGAGAGAGAGACCAAACACTACGATCTAATCAAGTGGCGTATTTATTGATCTCTCTGTATTTTTTTAGGCTAATAAACGAAATCTAACCCAATAAGTTTCAAAATTTTCGGGTTAGACCCAAAATGAATATCTGAAGTATGCCTTTACTTTAGACGCCATGTTAAATTTATTGAAATGGATGGTGGTTAATAGGAGAGACCTAAACACTACATAGTGGCGTTAATGCAGTATTCTCTGTATTTTTTTTAAAAATCTGAACCAAATGGAGTCAAACACACATCGATAGAGCTGTTTAAACGTTGAAGTTGTATGAACAATGCGCCCCCCCCCCCGAAAAAAAACGGATTACTTTGAACAACTTTTGATCTTCACGTTCTAGGACTCAATCTTAACGAGGGAGTGACCTCAAATATGTTAATTAATTAGGGCAGACGATATTTTAAGTTACGAAATCAGTACTCTTTCTGAATAGCATACTTTTTTTTAACCAATTCGGATTTCTAACCGCAAAAATATAGGGGGTAGCCGCAGTCTGGGAAAATATGGTCCCAATAGTTTGGTCAAGAGAGCAGTCTAAAGTTTGAACCCCTTACCGTTAATTTTGCTTTTTACGTAATTCACAATATCTCGAAAAATTTGTAAGCAATTTAAATTTTTTTGGCATACAATTAATTTAGCGTAAGATAATTCCATACAAAAAACAACTTTTAGTGAGTATTTACTACTTTTTATTAGTTTATTTTATAATAGTCGAAAAAATTTTGAATTGTAAGGTACCGGAAAGATCGAATTTTAAAGAAGGTGTATATTTAAAATTCTATTTCTCAGGAACTATTAAACCGATTTCGCTCAAATTTTGTATTTTGCCATGTAAAATTAAATACACTTTAAAATGATTTAAAAAATTTTTATACCTTACAATTCAAATTTTTTTCCGACTATTATTAAATAAAATTTATTTTTTTGTATGGAATAATCTTTGGATAAACAAACTTTATAATTGTGCGCAAAATTTTTTCAATTCGTTTAAAAGGGTCTTGAGATAAGGCAAAATACGCAAAAAGTAACATTAACATTAAGGGATCGCTCTCCTGACCAAATTATGGGGATCATATTTTCCATATTGCAACTACCCAGAAAACCGAAGGGGAAAAAAAAAAGGTATGTTTATTCAGAGAAAGACGTTTTTGTGCCTGATTGCGTAACATAAATCATCGTCTGAACTAATTAGTATATTTGAGGTCACGAAAATCACAGAATATCGAATAGTTTAACTCGTAGTCAAATCTGGGCAAGCCGCTCAAGATAAATAGTTTTAATTTATTCCAAGTGCAAGAATCGTATTGTTTTACTTGGCAATTTCAGTTAGCGCAAAAAATAAGCCTCGAAAAGAACGATCCAGCTGTTCAACCATTCTGCTTCTTTGAATCGTGAATATGAAAAGAGAAAATTTTTCGTTTATTTTATGATCTTCGATTATTTGAATACTTATTGAAATTCGTCTTTAGGGAGTTTGCTCTCTTAAAATAAATTCCGAATCTCGTTAGACAATTCACAGCAAATTATATTCATGCACAATAAATTCCTCGGATTTAATTCTGTTTTGCCTTTAAGATCTTTTTAGTAAATTTATAACTTTTTTATGATACCCTTCCATTTGTTTTATATTTTATTTTATAACATATTTTATTTTATAATATATTTATTATATATATTCATTGAACAGGCGACCCAATTTTATGGGTTTACGACTACTATGATCAACTTCGTAACCTTGTAATTTTGAACCCAATCCAGAAGACAGGGAACTCTTAGATCGAATAGTGGGAGAAATTTTGCCTTTACGGATGACTTTTTGATGGAACTAACCACCATTTGCGTTACATGGAGAGGAAGACTATGTGAACCTCCCAAGTTTAGCCCGATAGCAAACAGACTCTAACCCATGATCCGTCTACCACTGAGGATATTTCACGTCATCACTACGGTCGATGCAAGCCGGATGTGGATTTGTATCGACCAGCCATTGCTGGGATTCGAACCCGGTTCACCTCAATGGAACGCTCTATCTCCGGAGCCATTGCGGCTCCTTCCACTTGTTTTGGCATGAGCCATAGCTTCTATTTCATTTTAATTTTGTTACCTGGCACGCGTAAGATTAAAAGAATTTTTCCTCCAGTTGGCCACCGCACAGTCGCATCCAGTTCTTTGGGTATGAAGTTTCGGATTCAAATTCTAATCTTGTGACTAAATAAATTATTAAATACGTTGCTAGTGTTCTAGTAGAGAGAGCCATTTGAAGCCAGAATGTAATGACATTTTTTTATTCACAATTAGCAAAAAATATCCCCTTTAAATCTCATGAGATGTTGCTCCAAAACTCCTAAATTCGGCTTTTAACATTTGTCATACTTAGAATCTGTTTTTCTTACCTAAGAATCAGCTTTCAGTTAAAAAGAAGAAGAAAAAAAAACTATTAATTTTTGGATCTTTTCAGCGAGTCAAAATTTTTAATCATTATTACTTTTTGTAATATTGCTGATGAAACTTAAGTCACTTTCTACCTTGGAGTAAGGGAGGAAAGCAACTTTTTCCCTCCAAGTTCATCCTGTGCACACAAGTTTTTCTTTCAATGATATAGACACCCCCAAAAACAAATGGAAAGAAATGTTATATTCCACAACAAATTGAAAGATAAAGCTTTCTGTATTCAAATTCTTCATCAATTCTTTTCTGCCCCTTGGCTGACTCTATGGGTGGTCCTTTAGAGTCTACCATGTAAAAGGGGGCAACCACAAAGGACTTGTAGCTTAAAAATTTTGCTGTGGGGATAAATTACATTGCTGCTCACAGTCTAGCACCTAGCCTTACTAGGAGGGTCAAGGCTGAGCGCTAGAAGTTTTTGCTTTTTCCTCAATGAAATAGGTATCACACAAAAACAAATTGATAATTTGTAAGTTACAAATCATTTGTGGTTGCCCCCATTAACATGGCGGACGCTAGAGGTCGGGGGCTTGAACCCGGGGAGGACCACTTGTCTAGTCAGCAGAGGGGCAGGCAAGGAGTGATAGATTATGAGGAATTAGAATGCAGAAGGCCGTATCGTAACAATTTGTTCTTGTGGAATATAACATTTCTTTCAATTTGCTTTTGTGGGATATCTATTTCATTGAGGGACAAAAAAGCTGCTAGTTCCGTGGTTGTGGGAAGCCTAATCCTTAATTGCTCATCTTCGAAATCTTATATCTATTTTCTCCACTTTTTGAAGTACTTATTTGTCTAAAAATGCATGCATATCGAAGTACTGATGAGGGGAGAGCTTTAAACTTCTGATTATTTTTATTTATTAGTTCTTAAATTATTATGAAAGCAATACTCGATGTAAGTTCGTTCCTCCCATATAAGTTTTAATTATTTAATTGCTTTTTGTCTCTTCTAAAAAATATTTTAGGAATAAAAATGTAGCTTTTGAATAGAGTGAGCTACACTTAATGAAATCGAGACAATGACTTGTAATACACAGATATACTATAAAACGTCGCAAAACTGCAGTTTAAAAAAAAATTATCATACTAATTAGTAGGTTAAAATAAAATGATTGACATTGGTCTGACCATTTTGCTTTATAGGGTAAAATGCAAATGTAAAAGATCTATATTAGTTTAAGGTAGACCAAATACAAAGACGGAACAAGAGTCTAGAACACTGACCTCCTTTATGACTTTCCAGTACGTTTCTGCTAGCCAGAGTGCCATTCATGGATTCTAAGTTGAGTATAATTTGTT